TTTGTTCCTGCATTTGTTAGTTGGTTGGGCCTTCATGATCATTTCTGCCCAAATGAAGCCTTAAGTCTTATTCCTTCTTCGATTTTAGCTCAAATACATTGTAAAAAGCTTATTATGACAATATTATATAGACATATCCATATATAAATAAATATGTACATATAAACTAATTTTATACCATAAAAATTACCAGATTTTTGTATAATACAAGACTATTATCTGCTGCAACGCGCGGAGCGGATATACGGCTAGTCTTTACTAAACGTGTAACTTTCACTATTAAATTCACCATCAGTCTCGAGGTCCGATTGCCACACCTTCGATCCAATATGAAGAATAAGGCCTGGTGACATATAACTGGGCCTTAAGCCTAATTACTCTACATTCAATTGGACCTCAAGCCCAATTACATTACATAGTAATTAGGGAGAAAGAGGGAAATAAGCGAGATTAATTAAAATTAATAGGCCAATAGTTTACATAAGTTAATAAATATATCAAATTATTGTTTTCGTCTATAACTTGTCTGGTTATGAACCATAACTTGACAAGTTATTATCCATAACTTATCTGGTTATGAACCATAACTTGACAAGTTTGTCCATAACTTATCTGGTTATGAACCATAACTTAACAAGTTATGACCTATTAATTTCTATAACTAAAAAATGACCTATATACTTTCTTAAGCTTTTCATATTGGCCTATTTCCTACTATTTCCCTAGTAATTATTGTAAAATTGTCAAGTTTTATGCTACATACATAATTACGCAATAACTATTATAATGATTATGGTTTTTGTAACTTGTAAAATAGTCTAAACTTTTTATTACATTTAAACATAACTAGTAAAATTATACTACATGTCTAAATTTTTCCCTACCCTACTTACAATTTTTGGCCTACTGCAAAAAGAGAAAAGTAAAAAGTTGTAACATCAACTAATAAGTTGGTAATTGTAAGAGTTGCTGGATGTTAAGTTATAGTTGAATTTAATATATAATTTTTAAACTGTATATATATGTACAATTGACATAACCTTGTGTATGAAGGTCAATATATATATATATATATATATATATATATTCAAACTATAAACAAGGTTGATAAACAATATTGGGACCAGAATGTTACTCCATAATTTGTATTCTATGTCCTACTAGAAAATTCTTCCGAGTACTGTGTCAACCATTGTTCTAGACCAAAACATGTGTTTGGTTAGTTGATTTTTGGGTGTTGGTTTCTCTGTAATCCAATTGTTGTTTGGTGACTGAAAAGCACACTTATCAAAAAGCCTATTGTTAAGCTATAATTACACATTAAGTGTTCAAAGTTGCTACCTACCACAGAGTGTTTAGCTAGGAAGGGGGACAAATCAGCCAACAATCTAACTACATATTACAGACCATTTTGCAGGGAAAAAGGCAGTAATGTTGTAAATGTTTTCACTAAAAGATTACAATTATCTATGATGTGAAGTCAAATACAATGACCCTTCTTAAGTGGGATTAAAGTCAAATTTATTTAGATAGGAATGTTTTTTTATTAGCTTTTATGCGGCTAAAAGAAAAATACAAAAATTTATTTTTTTATGATTGACTTGTTTTAAGTTTCTTGAAAAGAAACGTAACTTTTGTTATTTTATATGGTTAAAAGTGCAATGTTGCATCTTTCTTAGATTATTATACTTCTCTTTATCGTGTTTGGTAAGCATATTTTGTAGATTAAAAAAAAAATCTTCCACAACTTAAGCACGTGTTTGGTTACTAAAGATATATATATGTGTGTGTATATTTTATTTGTAAATTTGGCTTTTTGAAAATTTTACATTTGTTTGTCAATTCTCCCAAAAGTTTAAAAGGTATGCCGAGATTGAACTTTACATTCATGTATTAGATCATGGAAATAAGACGAAAATTCAAACTAAGAGCCGATATCCGACCATTCGGAATGTGTAAATATAAGGAGATATTTAGTTCATAGATTAGAATCATGTGATTAGAATCATTTTCGATTTACGTGTATTTTTTATGAGAAAAAATACTGTAGTAAATTATGAACCATGATTCAAATCATGATTTGAATCCTTCAACTAAACATCCCCTAAGAGTTTTAACGGTGGGTTATCTTTTCTTAACAAAAAAAAAAAAAAGAAAAAAAAAATCTCTTATAGTTTAGATATCCAAACCAGAACAATACATGGAACTAGAGGTGTAAATTCAATTTGTCCCGCCCAACGGTTGGAAAGGTGAAACCGAAACGGGCTAGAAAATGAAGAGCTTGAGAATAGGTTGGCCAACCGGCTCAAAAGCCCGCATGGGCTGGGCTGGATCAGGCCTCTTTTTATAAGTCATAAAAAAGGAAAAAAGAGGGAAATAGGTCAAAATTTGAGATGAATTAAAATTAATAAATTAATAGTTTACATAAGTTAATAAATAGGTCAAATTACTGTTTTCGTCCATAACTTGTCTGGTTATGAACCATAACTTGATAAGTTATTATCCATAATTGTCCATAACTTATCTAGTTATGAACCATAACTTGACAAGTTATGACCTATTAATTTCTATAACTAAAAATTGACCTATATACTTTCTTAAAGTTTTCATATTAGCTTATTTTCAACTATTTCTCTCATAAAAATTAATCAGGTCTGGTTGTCCGGTTTGGTTACACATTGACCATAACTTCCGCTCCGACCTTAATATTTAAGCGGCCAAGCCTGGACTAAATATTCGGGCTTTAAGTTGGCCCATCTTACATTGACACCTCTACACAGAACACATTAACATCAGTGAACAATGAACATGACACAAATTTGACTTTAATTGCAAAGATAAAAATTGCGCTTCCGCTGCTAGTGCACACACGTTTAGTCATTAAGGTTGCGTTTGATATGAGGGTTTAAATTATGGTGGTTTTAGTTTTAAAACTAAAACTATGATTTATAGTTTAAATTTGGGGTCCAAACCATATTTATGGAACTGAAATCAGAACTAGAGATTTGAACTATCCAAAATCAAGGAGGGAGGTGATTTTATTTTTTAAGGTGGTTTCTGGTTTAAAACATCACATCAAAATTCAAACCTTGAACTAGTACCATCTAAACTAAATATTGACTTTTAAGAACTATTTTTTACTTTTTGCAAACAAAGGTTTGAACCAGAATTATGGTTCTGGTTCTAGAACCCTCACACCAAACGCCATTTAAGGCCTCGTTCAGTTCGTAGATTCGAGTTGAGATATGATTTTATATAAGAGTTTTTCACTGTATCAGAAAAAATTAGATGTGACTTTTTATAATAGCTTTTAACTGTAATAAAACTGAAATTGAAAATTTAAATTGGTAAAATCAACGATGCATGATACAGATGCTCATGAACCTAACTAAAAGCTTGCTATGGATATTTTAAGAGTGTCATCGGTTATTTACATTCTTTACAGAAGACGTACGCAAGGTTCTGGTGGAACTTTTTATTAGTTTCCCATTTTGACTTGGCTTTCATTTAGAGTTTAGTTTTAAATGAACAAGCACTTTGTGACGCCATTGTGTTTAGTAATACTATTCTTATGTAATGCCAACATCACAGAGAGAGCTTTTTATTAAATGAAAATATGGTCTTTTTGTCATGTCATTTGTTTTCGCTGCAGCTATTGGTATTACTACTATTAGCTATTATTATGTCACAACACCCTCAACCAAGATCTATCAAAGGAACCAATAGAAAATATAAAGTCTATGCATATAAAAGGGGACATTATATCACTAAAGCAAGCCAGAGCTCTTTAATGCGAATATAAGAAACCAAGTACTATAATGAAGCTGCTCCAGAGCTGGGACAGATTTAATAGTACTAGTCTTTCTTTTTCTGTTTTGAAGGGAAAGGCCGGGTAGGGATAACTGACGTTAGCATACTCCCTAAAATGTTATTGCAAAAATATTCGTGGAAAGTTTTACTATTTGGCCTTATTTCTTGATGAGAAACGCGTCAGCCAACCCCATTAAATATGTTTGCTGTAAAGATACGTGGAGGCACGATCTTAAGCATTTTAAAATCGAGTAGTAGGCTGACGGTGTAAGCATTTACGTTTCAGATCCTTAAAAGAAAATCACCCGGCACTTGAACCTTTGATTGCATACCCATCACAAGAACCGTTAGACCATCCCACGTGGTGGTTTCTTTTCAACTCAGAAATCTCTCTCTCTCTCTCTCTCGGTAGTAATCTCTCTCTCTCTCTCTCTCGGTAGTAATCTCTCTCTCTCTCTCTCTCGGTTAGTAATCTCTCTCTCTCTCTCTCTCTCTCTCTGTAGTAAAGATAAGTTTCCAAAAAAGAACCGTGCAGAGGATAAAAAAAATCTGCTCACAGCAACCAAAGCAGAGGTGTCTAAATGGAGGCTGAAAAGCTACGAGTCTATTCCCTCACACTTCATTTTCATAATATTTAAAATGATGATTTAATTCCTATCCTTTTGAGACGCTAATGAAAAGCCACACAACAGTTGACAGACTAGAGCCACCTTTGGTCTTTGCATTTAAGACGTTTTGGTTTTGGTTGGTTATTTTCTTCTCTTCACCAGAACCCATGACGAATCTTGTTAGTAAAAGGGCAACTGGCCAACTTTTAAGTTCTAGGTTCTTGTTAGGCCAAGTTCTCAAAAATTGTTTCAAACAACTAATTTCAGAAACCTCCATAAGTCTCTTTTTTCTTTTTTCAATGCTGAGTGATTTATAGGTATATATATGTATGTGTGTGTAATTTAGATAATTTAAGCGAACTTATTTGTTTTTTTTTTAAGTATAATTTAAGTGAGTTTAGCTGTTTCTAATTTCACACGAAGGGAATTATTGGCATCATGGCTGGGAGAGAGAGAGGGGAAATGAAAATGAATTCATGTTATATTCTAAACTTTTGGCATTTGTACACGAAAAGAAAAGAAAAGAACTGATATAGAAAATGAAACATCATTAATAAAGTACTCTAGATAAATAAAGCACCAAAATCCACTAATGCTATTGCTTGATGTGAATGCCAAAGAGGCCGTGGAATTTGAGTTCTGATTTCAAATTGGAACTACCTAAATGGGCATTTGAGAGAAACAAAGAAAGATCAGGTTACAAATTACATCCTATAAGGTTAACACTCTACTTATACAAGGAAGGCCTACAGTTACACACCAAAGAAATGAAACATTAGCAACAGCTCTAGAGAAAAAAGCCACCAGAACCCATTAATGGCATTGCAATAGCATCCCAATGAGGCCATGAAATGTGGATTTTGATTCAAAATGGCATCATCCAAATGAACATCTGAATTTGGCTCGAGCAGCTTTAGCTTTGTCTGGCATGGTTTCACCCCATATGGGACATGGCTAGCTGGTGACAGCCCAATGGGGTAGCAGAGATTTGGGTTGTCCCAAGCCCCAAAACGCCTTCCCATTTTCCCATAAAACCATTCAGAGAATTTAAGCTCTCCTGTCAGGTTGTTCCCATTCAGGTACAGAGCTCCAACACATGGCAATTTGGCAAGCTTTGGTGAGAGATTTCCTGAGAGGTTGTTATCACTAAGACCCAGAAACCTCAGCCTCTTTAATGCTGATATGGACTCTGGAATCTCTCCTATAAGGCCTGTGTTGGAGAGATCCAATATGGCTAATTTCTTCACCTTTTCCCACTCTAGGCTCATTAAGTCCCCACCAATTGGGTTATTGGATAAGACCATTTGTTCCAAGGAATACAACTTTTGAAGTGACTCAACCAAACCACCAGAGAATTTGTTGTTGCTGAGGTCCAAAAGAGTCAAATTTTTCATGTTTGCAATCTCACTTGGAAGCTTGCCTTCTAATAAGTTGTTGCTCAAGTCAAGCTTTAGGAGCGAAGTTAAACTTCCAAGAGTACAAGGCAAAGGCCCAGATAGTGAATTCCTACTCAAATCAAGGATTAGAAGCTGATTCAATCCACCAAAACTGTCTGGAATTCTTCCTGTGAGCCGGTTTTCGGCAAGAACTAGCCTTTCCAAGTTGACCAAGTTGCCAATATCAGATGGTAATTGACCTGTTAATCCATTCTCTAGAAATACCAAAGATTGAAGCTTTACGAGGCTGCCAAGACTTGCAGGAACTTGTCCAATTAGACCGGGGTTCGATCGGAACTCTAGTGATTCTAACCTGCCGGCGAGTTTTTCCCAGTTACTAGTTGGGATGGAAACCGGATGTTTGTGGTGTGAGACGAAGCAATTGAAGAAAGACAAGGTTTTTAGGTGCTTGAGCTCAAACAGTTGTGGTCTAAACTCCACATTCGCGGAGCATACGAGAGAATTTTCATGAACTGGTCCAATATTCAAGGCAGTGACATACCAAAGCCCATCAAAGAGATCACAAGAGACACCCTGTTGAAGAATCAAATATTACATGATTAACCTTGATAGGACACAAACTTTATTTATGCCCTCTAAGTGAATTAAGAGATCCAATCTTTAAGGCAGTAGTAACAAGTTGTTTTACCAAACTTGAGTGCACAAAATAAGTACCGTCTTTTTGCGCACAACATAAAGAAGAGTGTATTCTTGTATATAAAAATGTTGTTTAAAGTAAGTATAATATTCATTAAGCAATTATATAAGAAGTATAGATTTCAAAGTTTTAGAACCATTTTATGCAAGTATTTCCGTCAAAAAAAAAAAAAGGGACCAAATGTCAGTTTTATGCTTCAAGTGTGAAGCAAATTTTGTAAGCGCAAGGCCCAACAAAGGAATTTTTATTGCAATAGCACAATATGCAATATATCAGGACAAGAAAATAATGCACGCCCAATTTCCTCTGTTATTTTTTTTTTTTTTTCTGGGACTAACCAACAAAGATGTTGACCGCTAAATTATAAAGTCACAACTCACAACCACCTCTAATAAATGGTAATAGAAGGCTAGGGTCAGCAACATTTACCTCGTCGCAATTTAAATCTCTTAGTACTTGTAAAAAAGAATGGAAAACAAAAACAAAAACCTCTAATAAGGGCTACTTTAGAAGCTAGAAGTATTGATGGGATTATTTTTCTTTTACTGTCAAAATAGTGACACTAAAAAATATGAACATAATATCCCATTTGAGCAAGAAAGTTCTTTTCTCTTTTTTTTTTTTTTTTTTGGCTGGAATCGAGCAAGAGAATTCTTTCAATAACAAATACTCATTTAACTTTCTAATCATGAACAGAAAAATGAAGAGTCCTTGTCTAATGTCTTTTCCAACTAGAGAATGAGAGGAAAAAAAAAAAGGAATAAAATAAATAAAGGGAATAGGAAAGTACTTGTATAGGAGTCCAACCACAAGGATCTGGATAGAGATCTGAGCCATTCCACCAGCTACCAACAAAGCCTTGTATGATTGAGTAAAGAGCTTCTTGCTCTGCCTTCTCCATTGAAGCCATATTATCCATCTCTGATTCTCCAAAGCACCAACCATTCAAACACACCATGAAGAGAACAAGACCAACAACATTTTTGCTACTAAAAAACTTCATTGCCAACATAGTAACTCAACAAAAAAGTGATAATAAAAGGAAGAAAAAAAACTTTGAAGCTTTAGTTGACTTCAAAAAAGTGATCTTCAAAGCAAAGGAATATTTATAACAGAAATGGGATATTTTCATGAGAAATAACTACAGCAGAAATGAAGGTTTTCCTTAAAGAGGACGGAGTACTTCACATGATATTATATTCTCTAGGACCCAACTAGAGAGTTTTTGAGAACAAAACAAATACTCAAAAAAGTTTTTGGATGAAGAAAAAAATGGAAAGAGAGGAAAATGCAAAGAAACAAAGAAGAAAAAACAGAATATATATAAATATATATAAATCAAAGCTCTCTCTTTCTTTCTTTTTTTTTTTTTTTTCCTTTTTAGTGTTTATGGAAAAGCTAAGGAAAGTATATATCAGAGAGGAGAGAAGAGAGAACACACACACATGTACTGATAAATACACACACATGTACTGATAAATACACACACAACAAACACAAGAACAAGATCCAAGCACAGTTCTCGAAGAGCTGATATCTTATAAGCAATAATAGCAATGACAACGATGAGGTCTTCAGAGAAGTAACTGAAGGGGGTTTGATGATGAAAGCGAAAGGAAGTAACCTTTTTTTTTTCATACGGTTCTACTTTTGATATACCACAACTAATATACTCCATTATTTTTTTTTTATTACTTAGTTAATGTAGGTTGGCTTTTGTCATTAAGCTCATTTAATGGGGCTGCCAAATTATGATGGTTAAGGTTGTGGTGGGATTAGTTAGGGTAAGGGAGTTTTATAAGGAGCTAATGGGGACCACTGAAAATTGGTCCCCGGCCATGCAAAAGAGAGAGGAGATATATTGTGCATGTAAAAACGTAAATGCATGCAAGACAAAGTTTGGTTTTTTTCTATACTATCTCTCTCTCTCTCATAGGCATTCTTGTTCTCTAGCTTTGGATCTCTCATGCGATTTTGCCAACTCTACAGTTTCTTCTGAAACAAATTGGAGGAAGAAGACAAAAACGACATTTATTGTTTTAGATAGTGGTCACTCACAAGGGACGGCTGCAAATTGGCTTACAATTTTAGCCTAATTGAAATAAATAGAGTAACTATGAAAGATGTCAATTATATATATATATATATATATATAATATAGAAGGATATGTCTATATATATTTGACTACACAATGCACTAAATATGAACATTTGTTGGCAATTTTTAACCTTCTTGTCCAGGTACTTTAGCGAAATGTAAGGAAAGCCAAGAAAGAAATTGTTTTATGTACCAGTTTAATAAAGTAAGAAAACATTTAATTTCATTTTTCACATTCGAAGGAGAAAGTAACGAGCATAACCATATCCCAGTTCACTTGTTGTTATAAAGTGTGAAAGTAACTATGAAGTCTATGATGAATAAATAAAAGAGTAAAAAAAAAAAAAAAAGGAAGAGTAAACAATGTGGACCCATAAACATTAAACAGCTATTAACAAAAGCCTTGTCGTCGTACAAGGAAGACCTACCAAAAAGTCTCTGTGAGATGATAAAAATTAAAAACCAAAGGATAATAAACAGCAAACGGAAAAAGAAATGAAAAGTATGGGATGTTTCGGACTATGGACCTCACGGTCTCAGTCGTGGGGAGGAGATGGGAGGCTAAAGAAAGGTGTTCTAAATTTTTTGGTAGTCCTAGCTTAGCCTGACAAGTCGTTTTCTCTCCAAGCTTTTTCACAGACTGCCTGCCTACACCGAGACACACACACACATATATATTATATATATATATAGAGAGAGAGAGAGAGAGAGAGGAATTTATGTAACAAATATGGTTTTTTGCAGCATCTTATCATCTAACCAGGTCTCTCATTTGCTATGATTCCATTTTGAAATAATTGTCCTGTTCTGTTGTCTAATTTGGTCGTCCCTTGTCGTGGAAGACCGGGAGAAACGAGAATCCTCACAAAAGTATTCACATTTTGTTCAATGGACTAAGGGAACTCCCTTTTCCTCCTTTTTATAACTTTCCCCAAAATTAGTAAGAGACGATGTGATCCAAACTCAGAAGTCAAAAGGGAAACAGATCATATATAATCTCCAGTTTCCTAAGCCCAGAAAATAACAGAGTAGCATATATCTGCAACCTACCATCTATGCAAGTTCGCCTAATTATTTTCCTTATATATATATATACATATATATATATATATAAAAGAAGCCTCAACCCATTACGGGCCATGACAATAATAACATTCTGTCTTGGAAATGAGGAAATGTTTGGACCACTTGGATGAAATCATTGCTTTCTGATGGATAAATGAAAAGGGGTTAAAAAAACGTAAGTAATACTATCCAAGTGAACCATCTAATAAATTACTACAAATCAAAGAGGGAGGGAGCGAGTATCAGGTAAATCAGCTACAAGTTTTAAGCATTGAAATATCATAACTCTCATTCTTTTAAAATGATTTTTCATAAAACTTCAGGGGTGGAAAAAAGAGTTGAAAAGAAATCCCTTCAACTCAAGGGTGAAGCTACAAGTCTCTGAGAGACAATTTTGAGCGAATTGTAAATACAGCAAAAAGTCTTTTGAGCCGTCATGTTGTAAAGAAAGTCCATATCTTTTTTCCTATTGACACTTCACCAGGCTGCTCCTCGTAATCGTAGTCATCATCAGCGCTCTCATGGACTGAGCTATTATTTTCATCTTCATCACCACATTCGGAGGTACCGTTGATTTCCATACTCAACTTTGTATTTTCAACGGACTCTGCTGCATCAGTACTATCACCAATGTCTTCTGAAGTTATAAACTGCGACAAAGTACACAAAACTTGGTTAGATGTTCAATCACCGCAGGAAACGGCTGACACCAAAAAATCAAGAGATTCTACCCGAACGATTTTATTCTCCGAGAACTCCACTGTTTTTGTTGTTATAACGTGCACCGTTTGCTTGGTTTCGGGGCTCTTCTGCGCTACTTCAGTCAGTGATACAGAGACAGCTTCAGGATTTGCTGCTACACATGGGGTACGACTACCTCCAGCTTCTTTCTCCCTTGTCTTCTTCAGGTCTTTAACCATGCCACTGATCATATTTGGACACAATCTTAAAGTCGTTAACAACAGCAAAAACAATAAGAAGCGTACAATGTCATGTCTCTCAAACATGCTACTATAGAACAAAAATTAAAACTTACTTTTTGCGTGGTCTGAAGTTGTACCGCTCCTCTCCAGGTGTTTGCAAGCCTGAAGCAACCGTTTGCTGCCTCTTTCTGCGCCTACCGGCAGTGACACTACCGGAACAAGCTTCGCTATCACCAACATCTTGCTCACTTTCTGAAATGTGAGATGTCTGACTACGCTGTCGTTTTCTAGCAGTGTTCCCCTTCTCTATATGAACTGAATCATCACGACTTTCCTCATTTATGTTGTAAGAATCACTAGGTGGAATCGTTGCACTTGAACCAGGTTCCTCGAGGGTTTTCCCAAGAAAAGCCTTTGCATCTTCAACAGCAGCCTGCACCGAGTGTGTTCTATGCAATCCAGATTTGTGTCTCCTGCTAGGTTTTCGGAGAGCACTCTTGGATTCTGATTGCAGGGAATCTTCCGGTGCTGCTTCCACCTTACTGTCTAAGTTGCTATGATCATCGACTGATGGAGCATACCCATCATGAATTTCTCCAACGATGTTTGTAACTTGGACTCTTTGAACATTAACTACATCATTTGAAATTCTCAAAGGGGCAGGTGGCCTATCTTCAGAAATATCAGGCCCTCTCACTCCATCACTGCCAAGTGCAGGCTCTTTGGCTTTTTCATCAGTTTTGACCTGCGCCGCTGATGATGGTGGCAACTCTATAGGTATCGGAGCAAGAACATGCTCGGATATTTTATTTGGAGAAAGTTTAAAAACTGATGTACATTTTTGAAGCCATGACATACGCCCTCCCGACTTTGAAGATCCCAAATTGGAAACAGCCAAATCATCTGGAGAGTTCTCTAAATGTTCTTCATGAAGGGTTGGCAGAGGAGCAGCATTCCCATGACTCACTTCAGGTACATGAAAATTGGAAACACTTAATTCTCTTTCTACTTCTCCACCATCCCTACAAGTCTTGACCTTTTCAACAAAAGCAAGAAACTGAGCTCTGTCCTTAAGAAGCTCTTCACGCTGGTCCTTCACCTTCTTGCTAAGAGTAGCTAGCTGATCGATATCATTCTGCATTTCGAGTTCGTTTTGTTTGAATTGTTCCTTGTTCAATGTAAGCTGTTCTCTTTGCTTTTCAATTCTATGCCTTTCCAACTTTAGTTCTTCCCTTTCTTTATGAGCAACACCTTTCAAATACTTAATATTATTAAGTTCTCTTTCTCTCTCATCCTCAAACGCTCTTTCTCTCTCATAAAGGAGCTTCTCCATTTCCTCTCTCTGATTCTGGATCTCTGACTCAAGATTCCTTCGCCGCAGCTCAAAATCTTGAATCATTTGACTATGCTCCAATTGAGCCTTTTCAGATAAAGTTAACTGCTCCATCTCCATTTTAGCCGCAAGTGAATCTTTTTCCCGTTTCAGATCTTCCAACTCCCTCTGCCTAAATTCATGTACTGCATGCTTCTCTTCTTTCAATCTATGCTCCTCCAAGTGTCGTAGTTTTTCCAATTTTTCCTTCTCCTCAGCAAGTTCTCTGAGCTCTTTGCTAATTACGGATCTTTTCTTGTCTAAATCTTCCCACTCTTGCTCGAAATTCTCTTTCTCCTCTTTTAGTTCTTTAGCTTCAATCGATAGTAACTCTGACTGACCTCTATATTTCTCTATTTCCTGTTTCAATTCTAACTGCAAACGGACATGTTCAGACCTTTCTTTGTTAGTTATTCTCTTGCTCTCACTCTCTTCACGAATTTGAAGCTCCAGTTGAATGTTTTCAGCCTTTATCTTCTCAACTTCAGCTAACAGAATCTGTAAACTCTCTTTATCAGTGATGATTTGCTGCTTTTCCACCTCCAGCTTCCTCTCATCAGATTTAATAATCTTCTCCCTCGCCTTTATAGCTTTCAATTTTTCTTCAGACTCCTTGTTTTTCTCCTTAAGTCTCTCAGATCTCTCATGCAATGCCTGTTCTCTCTTTTCTAACTTTTCTTCCCTGTGGTTGATTTCAGCTTCCTTCTTTTCCAATGCATCTACCCTTCCAGAGAGCTCCTTGTCAACAGACTTCCGCTTTCCTTCTAGTTCCAACTCAAGTTCCTGCATTTTCACGTCAAAAATAGCTTTGTGTTCATCAAGCAACTGTTGAACCTCAACCTGCAACACACCTCCAAACAAAACATGATCTGAGATTGCTAAACCAATCACATGACTACAATCAGCTCTAGATAAAATATTAGTTGCTATCCCATATGATTATTGCATACAAAACAAGAACGGATAAATTAGAGATGTGCCCAAGACATCAATCCCATGTTTCAAAGAAGAATCTCTAGTATATGCACCCACTTTTTCTCGTGAACTAAGCTTTTCTTCCAGTTGATGCAATTCTTTGTGTTTCGCCTCCAGAGAGTTTCTCAAAGAATCAGTTTCCTGCAACAAAATTAACAAAACAGAGTATTTATGCGTAAAGTTTCAATTTTAGTTATTGAAAGGAGCCTCAACCATCCCAAAAATTATTAAAAAAATAAAAATAAAAAAAGGCACTCACTTTCTCTTTGGATAATAAGTCCTCTAGCCGTTTGCTTATGTCTTCTTCCTTTTCTTTCAGATCCAAGCTAGACAATTCAATATTTTTCTCTAACAACTGAAGTTCCATCTCTGTCTGTTTATAAATCCTCTCATTTTCATTTGTCTTTTCCTCTCTTTCCTTGACGGCCCTCCGACCCTCGCATAGCCTTTCTTCCCTTTCATGTAACTTCTTCTCCCACTCTTGCAAGTCTTTTTGTTGTTTACGAAATGTTGCCTTGTGTGCTTCTCGCCTAAGAGCAATTAGACCAGTCAAATTTCAATTGTGATATGGCATTTACCAAATACCTGGAGGAATGTGATTATGATAAAAACTAATTACAGAGAATAAAGAACTTCAACATAAAATATAGTGAAGAAATAATACTCTGCGATTAATGTATGGTGCTCCTTTTGAAGCACACTTTCACGAGCCTCCACCTCTTCCAACCTTATATTCAACTCTGTACTTTTTATGCACACATAGACAAGCTTAGCTTCGGCAGCTTGCAACTTATTTTCTATCTCCGCAGATTTCTCCCCAATTCCAATTATCAATTTATTTGCTTCGGCCAGCTTTGAATCGGACGCAAGCTTAAGTTGGACCTGCTCTTCATTTGTTTCACGCAAAGCTTTTTCAAGCTGCAGTAAGGAAATCAGTTGATATAAATCAGAAGAGTTATTGGTAACAAATACACCACACAAGTTAAACAAACAAACAAAATTAAAGTGCACTGACACATATTCCTCAAATAGCTTAACAAACTAACAGAAATTGAATAACTGTATAAGAATGGTATAACAACAACAACAACAACAAGAGATATAGAGAAAGATAAAAGCCTCAAATAGAAAAGATTCTTTTGCACCGAAGGTGCCACACTGTAGAGTCTCATAAGAAGGGAACGTTTGCTCATCACTTATCCCTTAAATATACAAGAATAAAGGTAGAATACTGTGTTGTACAAGAGATATAGCTACTATAAAAGCACTAACCCCATATAATAATAAAAATGAAATCATAATATGAGGAACATAAAAGAAAAGCGCACAATACACATAAAAGGAGACATGACTTCATTAAGTTATCTTCTTTATGAAGGAAACAAAATCACCTGTGACAAAATGAACAACTATAGTTTCTCTCTGAAGCCAAGTAAAATTTATTCAAAGAGCAAAATGTACAAAAAGAGAACTCAACTTAGCTTTAGTGTGAGAATATCAGACATGATGTCAGGAAAAGTTCATTCAATCCAAAGAAGTAAGACAAGGATTGATTAATATAAGTTAAAGAGGCAATACAACAAGAAAGAACATACCTCAACTATACATTGCTTCTCAGCACTCAATGCTTTCCTCAAATTCTCTTCTCGTTTCTCAGCTTCAGATAACGCGACCAAATGAGCCAATTGTTCACGTTTCAGAATCTCATGTGTTTCTGCTAAAGCTTGTCCCAGTTCTTCAAACTTTGAATTCCAGTCTTCCTTCTCAATCAGAAGGATCCCCATGTTATACTGGTAATTGAAGAGCTGCCAAGAAGATACTTCATAAGATGGTGCAAACCAAGTACTCAAATATAATATGTCATAAACCAAATTCTTCACTAGTTATCATAAACCAAATTCTTGACTAGTTATCTAAAATAAACAGTAAAACAGGTAGTGCAGTGTAAAGAATATAAAAATAAATAAATAAGAAGACTCTTTCCCACGAAGTTCTAAAGAAATAGATATTAGTGAAACTAATGACCACTTTAGGCATGTCACTCAACAAAGAAAACAAGAGTCCAGACAGTCTCCGACCACAATATCTCCCCATAACTAAACCAAATGTTGCTGACTATTGAAAGAATAAAAAGTCATTAGAAAGTCAATTGAAATAGAGTGTTGACATTCAAAGACCTGGTATTTCTCTTCAAAGTAGATTAAAGGAACATTTCTCCGCTTGTATTCACGAATTTAGAGCCTAAAACATTTAAATAAGAGTATAACCCAAAGAATTAATCCCACACAACAACTCTTAAAATTTAAAACAAGAATATTTCTCTCGTCCCGACACCGGTTGCTGGGCTAGTTGGTGTTCATTATCATTTAGGGCTTGTTTTTTTGGACTAAAACTCAAAAAAAAATTTAAACTCAGTTACAACTTTATTCAAGTTCACGTTCTTTTATAAAATTTGAATTTGAACTTGAGTTTTAACTTAAGTTGAGACTAAAATCTGAGTTCAAGCTCTTCCTTCAACTCAAGTTCCTAAACTCAAACTCAAGTAAATGAAATGTATTTTTTCTATTCTTAAAAACGCCATAACTTTTTCGTTTTAATTCCGATTGAGATGATTTTTTCTATACATTCACAACGAAAAGACGAATAAAATCCCACTCATATACCCTATTAAAATTTTTTATCACCATTGAGTTTTTATTAAAATATTATCTAAATACAAATTCAAGTTTTCAGCCACCCAAACACAAACTCAAATAGATTCTCAATTTAAACCATAACTCAATTATGCACATCCAAACATAAACTCAAGTTACAATTTCAATTCAAGTTACAATTTCAACTCAAGTTATAACTCAAATTCAACTCAAAATCTACACTCAAAACTATGGGGTTGTTCTTTTGCATTTTTGAGTTAGTGTGACTTGAGTGATGATCTTAATTTAAGTTTGAGTATAACTTGAGTTAAAGTTGTAACTTGAGTTTGTGTTTGGATGTGCACATTTGAGTTATGATTTGAATTGAGAATCTATTTGAGTTTGTGTTTGGGTGGATCAAAATTTAAATTTGTATTCAAATAGTATTTTAATAAAAACTCAATAGTAATAAAAAAATTTTAATAAGATATATGAGTAGAGTTTTATTCGTCTTTTCATTGTGAATGCATAGAAAAAAATCATCTTAATCAGAATTAAAATGAAAAAATTATGATATTTTTAAGAATAAAAAAAATACTGTTCATTAACTTGAGTTCGAGTTTATGAACTCGAATTGAAGAAGAAACTTAAAGTCGAGTTTAGTCTCAAACTCTAAACTCGAGTTCAAATTTAAATTTTACAAAAGAACATGAACTTAAATAAAGTTATAACTTAAGTTCAAATTTTTTCTGAATTTTGTCGCAAAAAACAACCCCTATAATTCAAAAATGCAACCGAACAACCCTTAATAATCTTCCTTCACTTTAACTACATTGTAAATCTTTCATCACTTCCAGTCCACCCCACCCAAGAGTAAATAAAGGAGATATCGATTTACCAAGTATTCTCCAACATCAATAAAAACATGTTAAATTGTAACACTCTTGCTTGGGATATGATTCATTTATCTAACAAGCTTACTTAATTTGCTTCGCAGTTTGTTCCTAAATCCAGATTAAAAAAAAGGAGGTTATCATCACATTTCTCCCAGTACGATCAATCTGGCTCTGTTCTTTATCGATCACAGCCCCAACCTTAAGAAAAGCCAAAAAATTTCGCAACTTTTTCTTGCCAAAACAGAATGCGGTTTGAAAATTTTCCCCAAACCTGATTTTCGAGATTGGAGAGCTTCTCGGTGAGGGCTTCATGGTCTTTCCTCACCATCGCCGCCTCGTCCAACAACCCAGCCTCCTTGAACCTTCTCCAGTCGTCCATGTTCCCCATTTCCGACTCCAACGACGCTGATTTCGCCCCGCTCAGTGAACCCAATGGCGGCGGCGGCGGGCCCTCCACAAACGCCGCCGTTTTGTCTTGGCCGGCGTTTCGGGAGAAGACGCCGCTCCTCGGCGTGAGCGAAAGCGCCGACGCCGTCGCCTTCCTCTGCGGCGAAAACATCTGCAAATGCGGAGTTTTTATTGAACCCCAAAAACACTAATTCCAGGGGGTAATTGGGAGGCGACTACTCGGAGAACGAATCTTATCGGCGCGGGTACAGGAATGTCGCGGCAAACAGAGTAGAAATCAAAACCCTAACTCTTGAAAAATTTTCTTAGGAAGAGAAAGCGAAGAATAATACTCGAATTGGGGAGAGAAAGAGGAAGGAATCCAAACTCAGAGGCGCTGCAAAGGCGAGGCTTCCGGAGAGAGAGAGAGAGAGAGAAGAGGCGGAGGAGGAAAAGGGGCCGGCAAAGACGATTGCCTGGAACAAATCTGTAAAATTTTTTAAAACGCACCGTCTTGGTGGAAGCAGGACAGACTTGTAAGTTTGGGTAGAATAAACATGCCTGTCTGAGGCGCGTCACCAGTGGTTCGAACCGGTCATAATTTTCGGGCTGAATTAGACCAAGGTTTTGAACTTAAAAGTTTATTGGAGCATGGCAAGGTCATCTTTTTAAATTTTTTTTAAATACTTTATAAAATTTTAAATTAGATTTGACGTTTGGTTCATAGATTCATAATTATTTTTTATTTACATGTATTTTTTATAAGAGAAAATATTATAGCGAGCCACGAATTATGATCTGAATCATGACACGAATCCTTATTCCAAACGCATTTCAATCTTTAAAGTCAAGCTAGACCATCCTTATTTCATTTAAGGTTGGGCCGGTCCGATCTGAAAGTTCTATTCGGACCGCCCAATCTAGGCGGTCTAAACTTTCACCTCTAAAACAGGTTAAGGCGCACCCTTATTTAAGGATGGCAACCGGATGGGGTGAGGTGGGGAATTGATCTCTCGTCCCAACCCCGCCCGCTAAAATGATCCTCATCCTCGTCCTAACTACCGCTTAAGAAGAGGTGAGACCTAAATCATAAATTTCTCTTGGGGAGATCTTCTCCATACCAGTTACATTCCCATTTAAAATAATTATACATTTTAAAATTATAGCAATTTAAAATAAAAATTAAGTGAATTGAAATCAAAACCAAATTAGACTCTACAAAACAAATTTTATGCAAATCAAACTTAATAATAAAGCCATAAAACCATTAATTTTGTTTGAATTTGTTTATATAAAATATATAAGAAAAAATTATTAAACTTATCTTCAAGAGTGTATGAGTTTTGATTTTTATATTTTACTCTTTATTAATGTCCTTTTGGCTGATATAGTTATTTGACTAAAAGAATATTAATCAAGAGTAATATCCTCTTGACTAATATAGTTATTTGACTAAAAAGATATTAATTAATAATGAGGGGTAAAAATCTAGACTCATGCACTCTTAAGAGGGTATTGATCTCATTTCCTTAATATATAAATAAAATAAAAATAATGAGAAAATTACAGAATTTACCATTAAAAATGTATGGGTCTAAATTTTTACCATTCATTCTTAAATAATATCATTTTACTAATAAAAATATTTGATTAACAATATTATTAATCAATAATAAATAATAAAAATCTTGAGACATATCTTTTTAAAGAGTAGTTTTCTCTTTTCTTTATATATAATATATAATGTGTATATCAAGGCCCGGCCTACCCTGCTATAACGGGTAATAATATTTTGTGCTCATTCCCGCCTTCATCTTCAATTATTATTTCTCATTCCTATCCCGTTCACGGATGGATCCTCATCTCGGTAGAGATTACTGTCATCTCTGACCTTTGTTACTCCCTCGCCTTCTTTTTCTTTCTTATTACTTTTTATTTATTTAAGAAAAAAATTATTTTGATACCTTATGTTTTTTTAGGGAAAAAACTGATTTTTTTAATGTTGTTGTCGTTTTGTGATGACTTCTTTCTAGATTAGGTTGATTCTTATATTGGTTTGATGATTGTTCGTTGTTATACTTTATATCATTGTCGTTTCTAGGTAGTTCTCGTTTTCTCAGTGATGTCGTTTATTGTTGTTATCTTTTTCAATCAATGTCGTTTTCTGTGTTAGTTAGTCTTTTGGCTTTTTCCTGTTTTGTTTTGTTTTTATTTCAATTTCGAAGAATCAAAAAAAGGATAAACTTTCCCCTCTAGATTTTAGTTTTTGTTTTGGTTGGGTTTCTTCGACGTAAAGCTTTCTTCATTGGGTTTCACAAATGACCAGCAAATACAAGAGTATTCAACTATAGAAAAAAATTGAATTCATCAGGCGTAAAGACAAACACGAGTACCGAAACCTAATAGAAAAAGACTCGTTGGCAAATTAATAATTAAACATAACAAAAACTTTTAGTAAAACCACTATAGTTGATGGGATTAAACTAGTCCACCAAGACAAAAAAATCCCATAACCTAGGGTGACTCACAATACAACCTAGGATAAAACCTATTGAACTAGATCTATCACCACCATAGAAAGATTAGGCAACAAAATTTTTATTTCACGATGAAAGCATAAAACGGTAAATTCAAAAATACTTTTATTAAGTTAAAATTATAAAAACTAAAAAACCAATACAAAAATCTCAATCCACATGAACTACACTTTTGGTACCGCAACGGCTTCCACATAGGAGGAGATCAAAATGAGTAGTACTACGGTGAAGAAAGAAGCCACCGATGCATGTACCTTGATGCGAGCACCCGCTGAGACCCACCATGTAACAGAGGCAATGCAACACCAAAAATGGGGGCCCATTAATCGCCCCACAACCGTATAAGAGGTTGACACATAAAAGGCGTTCGAAAACTCGTCAGCAGCCCCCTTTCTCTAACCCCCGCCTCAATTTTGCCCTCTCTTAGCACCCTTAGCTTGAGATTTGTACACTTCGGGGCCCTTAACCAAGGTTGAAAACCTAGAACATTTTTGGTAAACGGATTCAAATCCCGGTTTAAATAGTTCTGTTATAGTGTTTTTCATCACAATTTTAAATTGTCGTGCAAATCATCTGCTTTGAACCTATAAACCAAATGAACCTTTAATATAGCCCGCCCAAAGACGAGGTTGGACTTTGGCCCTCCCACAAAGCTTGAGTGGCATATGAAAAAAAATTGAAAAAGTGAGAAGATAGAGGGTATACCTATATTTTAGCGTTTGAGTTTGGGGGATTTTTTCTTTCCCCCTTTTTGTCTGAATACTTTCCACAATGACTTGGGAGTTAGGAGCACTTTTCTTAGGAATTCAATTTCATTTTTGGGTCAATGACATGACAAGTTCCTAAACTTGTTATAATGAATAGATCCTAGATCTAATTTTATAAGCAAGGTTTGTTTTCATTTTCTCATTTTCATTTTTTTCGGTGTCAATCTCTTCTTCCTCAGTATAGTTTTCCCATTTTCATTTTAACTTGCTTTCCTCTACTCCCCTCAATCTCCCTCATCTTCGGTCTCCATCGGGCGGTGGAGTTGTCGATGAGGACGGATGCGGTGGAGAAGAAGGATGGCTTGTCGGCGGCAGCGGCGGAGGAGCGGAGGAGGGAAAGGGTGAAGTGGGTGAGCGAGAGGTCTCCATCGGGCGATGGAGCTGTCGATGATGACCGATGTGGTGGAGAGAAATGATGGGTCGGTGGCGGCGGCGGATGAGGGAGAGGGCGAAGTGGGTGAGGGACAGGTCTCCATCGGGTGGTGGGCAAGGATTTGAGCGATGACCAGACGTAGCTCAAATCCATCATCGCCAAGGAGAATCTCTCGGTGCCATTTGATTTCCCGCGGTTCCTGGACCTGATGGCTAAGCACATGAAGCCGGAGCCGTTCGATCGCCAGCTCTGCGACGGCTTCAAGGTCCTTGACAAGGACGCCATGGGATTCGTCTCTGTCGCCGAACTCTGCCACATCCTCACCAGCATCGTTGAGAAGCTCGAGCCGGCCGAGTTCGATGAGTGGATCCGCGAGGTCGATGTCGGCTCCGACGAAAAGATTCGCGCTTCCTCTAGATGCACTCGGAGTTCGCCGCCTCGGGTGTGGATGGGCTTCTCCGACTGCCCCCCCTCCCCTTCTCTGACTGCCCCCCTCCCAAAACTCTTCTCCAACTGCCCCTTCCCAAAATTCTTCTTATTACATGTTTTTAAAAATTAAGCCCCCAAACACAATTTCAGTTTTTTTTTTTTTTTAAATTGAAAACAATCTCGGAATAAAACTACCAAATGCATTTTCAGAAATGATTCCAAAATGAAAATGAAAACGTTTTTGTTTTCATTTTCATACAGAAAACAAAATCATTTTGGAACGAATTCCAAACGCACCTTTAGTTTCTTGTTTTTTTTAAACTTCTGTACAGTTTTTTTTACCCTTTTTTATTTTCATTTTTTAACATTTATTTTTTATTTTTATTTTCTTTTGCCTATTGTCTTTTTTTTTTGTTTTCTCCCTAAATTATTTTATAATTTTTTTATACAATATCATTCTTTAAAATACTTTCTTTTTCTCATATAATGATTCATTTCAAATATCTCCCTACTTAAGTATTTTTTTTTATTTTTTTAATAAAAAACTCCCATATAATTTTAATTATTTTTTGATGTGATTTTTTGAAATAAATTTTTTCTTATTTAATTAATGGACTTAATTTTTAAAGAGGTCACATATTTTATCGTGAGATTAAACTTACAATGTTACACATATATAGTAAGTGACTCAACTTCAACTAGTTTAGATTAAAAAGATGATAAGGACGCATGTAACTTTTTATTTTTTTAAAAATGATTCACAAGGATGGTCTACTTACGCCACAAATTGGCACTATCAAAAGGCACTAGGGCAGCTCCCATAAAAGGACAAAAAGGGTCCTACCTTTGACTATAATTTGTAAAAACGCTAATCAATAATGTTCTAAACTCAATTGTCCATCCCCTGGATATGACCTACACAAATATTGCAATTTTTTTTTTTTTTTTTTTTTTTGCTGATAAGTCTATTTTTTTAATTAAATCACGTATATCCTGGAATACGATTTAAATGGTTTCATTGGCATTTCTTGTCATACATTTCGTATTACTTGCGTTTTGTAATATTCTTGTATAGCTTCCCCACGTCAAGTAAAATCTATATATATTAACCTATAATTCTTTTGTAGTATCCAAACTCAATAAAGTTAGTTTTCTTTAAATTTAACTTTTTTTTTCTCTTTGCAAAAATTCGAATTTCAACTAACACAGTGAAAGTACAAAGAATTTGTAGCAATGCCCCACGTTCATAAGAAAAAAAAGGGGACCCCATTCAATTTCATATATATATTTTTGCAAGTACTATGTCATTTTATTTTATTCTCTGCATTGTTTGTTTATGTTTATCTCATATCTCATGCAAAATAGAAAATAAAAAATAAGAACAAAAACCGTGGGCCATGATAAATAGGGGTGTACACGGATCAAATTATGCGAATCAAGGGTCAACCTGCAATTTAATCTGTTTATGCGAACTGAAAAAATCTCAATTCGCTACGGCTCTACCAATCTGTTAGACTTTCAATCCAATCCAATCCATTCTGAATTTACGGATTGGATTATACGAATTGACAAATTAACTTATGTTTTTGATATTCTCATAAAATTAAATATAAAATTAAACACAAACATAACATAACACAAAATTTAAATAGTTCCACGAATTCATTACAACACAATCTAACATAATATATATAGTTAAATATGTATATATACATTAAGAAAAAAGCTTATATATATTATTAAAAATATATTAAAAAATATATAATATATATAGTTCAAATTAACGGATTATACAGATTGAGAAATGTTCAATCCGTAATTTAATTTGTTAATCCGGATTGAAAAAATCTCATTCCGTTATCAATCTAAAATTTTAATTTTTCAATCCAATTTAATTTGACGGATTAAATTAGATTATGCGGATTGGACTGATTGAGGTCTCGTTCATTTCACCATTCGAGTTTTCAGTTTTAAGTTTCTACAGTAAAAATTTTTTAGAAAATGTCACATTAATTTTTTTTACTACAGTAAAAAACTCTAAAAAAATATTACATCTCAACTCTAATTGAAAATTCAAATCCATAAAATGAACGAGGCTCAATAGATTCGGTGTACACCCTTGATAGATAGACGGACTTTCAAGTCATTTTGTCTCCAACTTTTAAGGGTAACTTGGTAATCAACGTCAAAACTTCACCACGTGTCGAGATTCTGATGGTTAAGTTGCTGCTCGCGTAAGTCTATACCTACTTGAATTGACTTTGAAGCCCTCGAATCCCTGGGCCGCTCCTCGTTTCGCAGGAGGTGAAATTTGACACCGAAATGACCAACAAGTCCACTGTTCATCTACGTGGCGTCCTCCAATTGGTTAATCGGTCACTGTCGAAAAATTACCCAAAACAGGATGAAAAAAAATCGCCGATATTAGGATCTTCCCCTTTTTCCACAAACGTAAATCGATAATTTCTAAGCCAGAACTCCAAACCCTAGCAGACTAGTTTCTCTCTCCTATTTCTTTCTCTCTCTACCTGTATTTCGATGCGCTTGGGCTCTTGAACGCCATGGCTTCGGAGAGTGTTTCCAGATCGAGCTCGGCGGCCGATTCGTACATAGGAAGCTTGATTAGTTTGACTTCCAAGAGTGAGATCAGATATGAAGGAGTTCTTTACAATATCAACACCGAAGAGTCCAGTATCGGACTCAGAAATGGTTTTGCTCTCTTTCTTTCTGGCTAGATTTTGAACTCTTGAATTTGATTTTCTGGGGATTTGACTCGGTTCGCTTGGATTTCATGGTTTTCGGAGTTTATTTTAGTTACTTGTTTGGTAATTAAAGGTTTCGAAATGGCTGGGTGAGAAGAATATTGAGGGTTTATGATTGCGTATTTTTTTTGTCGGGTTTTAGTTGTTTGTAGGTTTGGTACATGGTTTTGTGCATTTGAGATGTGATTCATTTCTGGGGATTTTTCCCTTTTGATTGAATTTGAGGTCTTGATGTATAGTAGGATTTTATTAGTTCGTAATTTATGTCTATCTTTGGTTGTTCTTAGGCTCGTTATATTGGAAAGATGTAGAAGAGTGGGTAATCTTGGTTGAACTGTTCAAATTGGCCTCACTATTATAATAACTTATTCATTGCTCGTTATATTGGAAAGATGTGGAAGAGTGAGCGTGCCAACTAGCGTTACATTTGATATATGAGCAAGACAGAATTATGTGTCGTTGGGCCATTTGGGGTTGACTTCTTGCTCCTATTGTGCATTTTTACTGAAAGATTTCCAAATAGTGTTCCAACCTGACAATCTTTGGTTCAGGATTATTCTCTTGCTATTGATATCTCGCCAATTTCTATTAATTCAGGATTACACATGGAAGAAGAGGGTTTGAGACGTTGAATATGTTTCTCTTTGGATAACCGTCGTGTGTACTTAAATTTGTTGCTCTAGGTGTTATCTTTGCGCATATTTTAATTATTGCTTTAGTTTAAACTTTAAATTAGTAGTCTTATCCTGAGTTGGTTTTTGGTTGTGTTCTTGCAACTTCCAAGTTGCTCAATCTTGTGAATGAATGATTTCCTTATGGAATATGGAGTATATACATCATGTGTTCACTGTATGAAACCATCAACTAGTAGGTCTTAATTTGCTTTGTTTATGTGGCAGTTCGATCTTTTGGAACAGAAGGAAGAAAAAAAGATGGGCCACAAATTCCCCCAAGTGATAAAGTTTATGAGTATATACTCTTCCGTGGAAGTGACATAAAGGTATTTTGGACAGGGATATATAAGACTCTCGGACTAAACCTGCCCATAAGGTCTTTGGTGAAGAGCGTTACTTAAACTTGAGACAATAACTACAAGTCTTTATTTATTCTTGTTTGTTTTGTTTTTCCCCCTGTAAAACTCAAAAGAAGCCATAACCTATGCTTGTACTTGCTATTGTATTTTTGTATATCTAATGATTTGTAAATACTGGATGAAGTGGTAGTTCTGAGTAATCTGTGGAATTCTTTTGGAAAGGATTATAAAGAGAGGATTAATTGTTGCTTACTATACTTTAGTCAAATCATGCCCTAAAATTTTATAAATGTTAAACTTAGAAAGTTAAGTATCTTCATGGTCACATTACTATGTTAGTGGAAGTTGAAGAGAGGACACCTCGGCGTCCTAGTTTAGGATGATCACTATTATTTCTGAATGTGGGTTTCAGTTTTTGTTTTGAATCATCTCCGGACAAGTAAATATGTCAAAGTAAATTATAGAACATTCTTGACTTGGTTTTCTATTTTGCAGGATTTGCAGGTTAAATCTTCTCCACCTGCTCAGCCTGTTCAGCCCACACCACCAATTAACAATGATCCAGCAATTATTCAGGTGTGTTAATGAATTTTTAACTTATTAACTCATCATTACTTGCTCCCTAAAGAAAAAAAGAAAGTTTTTTCATTAAAATGTCAACACATTATGAGAATTTTCTCATTTGTTATGCAGTCTCACTATTCTCGTCCTGCCGTTTCCACACCATCTAGTTTGCCGTCCACTGTTAGTGGGTCTGTGACTGATATTGGTTCTCATACTGCACAATTGGGACTCCCTGGTTCAAATTTCCAAGGTGCGTTGCCTTTGTATCAACCTGGAGGGAACTTAGGATCATGGGGCGCTTCACCTCCTCCACCAAATGCAAACGGTGGTGGTCTTGCCATGCCAATGTATTGGCAAGGATATTATGGCCCTGCAAGTGGGCTTCCTCAAATGCACCAACAACCTTTACTTCGGCCACCACCTGGGTTATCAATGCCTTCTTCCATGCAGCAGCCAATGCCATACCCCAATTTTAATCCTCCTCTACCCAACGGAGTTCCAAACTTGCCTGAGGTTCCATCTCCTTTACTTTCTGCTGCTACTACTAGCTTTCCAAATTTAACCTCTACTTCTGTAACACCATCAACACTGCTGACAACTCTACCTGTGGTGCCTCCTGCTTCATTAGCTCCTGAGACATTAATGAGTTCAGTGCCTAACAAGGAACCAAATTCTAGCATATCTGCTTCCACCTTCAGTGCTAATTTGCCATCACTGCCTCCTTTGACTACGACTTCAGACATAAGCTCTATTCTACTGCCAATTGCTAACAAGCCAAATGCAATTTCTGGTCAATCTTTACCCTATCAAACTGTTTCTCAGTCTACTTCCTCCATTGTTGGGCCATCCAATACTGTCCGGACTGAGGCGCCAGCACCTTCCCTAGTAACCCCTGGACAGCTGTTACAGTCTGCTCCTGCTGCAGTTTCCTCCCAACCTTCACAAACAGTCCATAAGGATGTTGAGGTTGTTCAAGTATCAGTGCCAGTTCCAGCAGAAGCTCAGCCACCCATATTGCCAACACCACCACCTGCTCGAGCTGGTCAAAGGGTTAGTTGTGCTGTTATTGCCTGAGAAAAAATTTACATAATGCGAAACGCTACTCAATTATACAATGGAAATTTCCTAAATTCCTAGTTACATCAAAAAAATCTGATTTCTAGGGACATAAAACGATCTAAAAATGTAGAAAGGAAACTATAATGAATTGTTCTACTACGATTAACTAGAATCAGGAAAGTGAAGCTCCGGATTGATTTTTTAGGCCCTAATTTTTGTGGGTTCTCCAACGTATTATGCATTTACTGTTTTTCTATTATGTTCATTTAGCACTTCATTACTACTGCGCATGTCTTGATTAAGGTGTCTTACAATTAACTCTCTCCAGCCAAATGGAGCACCTTTCCAAAGTCGACATGGTTATAGGGGCCGTGAAAGAGGACGAGGAACTGGGGTAATTTTTTGTTTACCTTTCCATTTTGCTAATGAATATGGAAGTTGTTGAAAAGTTTGAAAGAACTTAAAATTGAACCTTCTCTGTGCAGTCACGTCCAGTGACAAAATTCACTGAAGACTTTGATTTCATGGCGATGAATGAGAAGTTCAAGAAAGATGAAGTTTGGGGTCACCTTGGCAAGAATAATAAAACCAAAGAGGGGAATGGAGAAATCAGTGATGAAGATGATACCCAAAACGAAGATGATGTCGGGTTAGCTAAGATTGAGAAGGTGAGATTTCCCATGTTGCGTGTCTCTATGGAGTGGAATTGGATTTTGTTCAAGCAAGGGGCTTGTATAATGCATTTGCTAATCTCAATTTGTTGGGTTCGTCTATTTTCTGCAGCCTGTATACAATAAAGATGACTTCTTTGATTCTCTCTCTTGCAATGGGCTTGATAATGACCCACAGAATGGAAGGACCAGGTATTCTGAGCAAATGAAGATAGACACCGAGGTAATGCTTAAACCTTTGTTTGCATCCCTATGAAAATTTTGGGGATTTTGTTCAATAATGTTTTCTATTTGCGGATGCAGACTTTTGGTGATTTTAGTAGATATCGGGGTGGTCGTGGCGGTCGTGGGCCTGGACGTGGCGGCCGTGGCCGTGGTGGTTACTATGGACGAGGGGGATACGGTTACAATGGAAGAGGCCGTGGGCGAGCTATGCCAAACCGTGGACAATAGTTCGCAGTTGAAATTATGAGTTTATAGTGGGATAAGCCGCGAGTCAGTTGCCCAGCAGAACAATGGAGCAGATAGATATTAGGGCCATGCGGATGTTGTGCTTTCATTTTTTTTTTTTTCCTTTTTAAGTTTTTGCTTGTCCAGAAAATAAATACAGGGATACGCGTTTCTTTTTCTCTCTTTTTTTTTTCCTTGTTGATTTAGTCTGTCCCGATTTCAATAGTTCTTGTATGGATCTAATCAATGTACTAGAGGGATATGCGTTAGGTCTAGAGAAGAAATATCAGATGTACTAGCCAATGGTTTTAGCAATTTCTACCGTTTCAAGTGTTTATTTGTGCAACTTCGTAACTTACGACAGATCAATGGTTTTGTGATCAATTTTAATTTAAGCACTCGGCGTTGCGTAGAGAAAAAAGATTTGACTCTTTTGGAACTTGAATAAACGGTTGCATAACAAACGATTTCACATCGCGCAGACAGGACCAACTGAGTGTTAAAATCGAATGAAAACATATTTTTGTTGTAGAGAGGTATGTTAACTACTTGCATGTGACAACAAGGACTCTTCTAGGGGGAAGAGAAGGCCTTCTTCCATGGAGCAAAGCTAAGTTGTCTAAGAAAAGAACATCCCCTTTCTCCCAATCAAACTGGATGCTTTCCTCTTCAATGATCTCTTCACATCTCTTGACCACATTTTCTGGAATCTCTTCCCCATTTGCCATCATAGCTGAGCTATGCGTCTTCCCATACATGCCGACGAGCGTGTTAAACCACATTCTCCTTCCTCTCCTTCCATCAAACACCTTTGTTAAACATCTTGGACCCAATATTGTCTTCATTCTGTCATTCGGTAGCCACTCCACGTCCATGCCTAGAGCCTTAGCCCTGCACCGGATTTTCAGCGGTTCCATTTCATAGAAGGATTAATATAAATACAATGCAATTACCGCGGTGTACCAAATGGAAGCAAATGTGCGTACCTTCGCTCAGCTTCAGCTTGATCTGATGTCCCAAAAGCATCCTCCCAACTTCTACCTCTCATGGAGCTAAAGGAGGAAGAGGAGAAGGATGTGTCCTTGTTGTTTAGCGCGGTGAACGTGTATTTTAGCCCTTTTGACTCTATTTCTTCTACAGCTTCTGGGAACTCCTCCAGCATCCGTTCCGTTATCCGGAAGCTTGGAACAAAAGGTGTTTGTCCTCCTTCTGGTGGTGGCGTCTCACAAAATAGAACCAACTTCTTGGGAAATTCCTTAATCTGGTCAAAGGTTTGCTCGTATGGTTTAGAGCCTATTTGAGCTTGTGAACATAGAGTCAACTCTTCAGATTAATACTATATCTATGGGGACGGCAGATAGGCCGAATGGGTGAGAAATCTAATCATCACCTCATTTTTTGACCAAATGGGAAGTTATCAAGACAAATGAAAGGAACACAATGACTTGAATCTTTAGGTTCATCATTATTTTAACTATATTTAGAAACAAACTTGTACAGTTAATACTGCAATAAGTAACTTACCAAAACCATCTCATGGTGGTAGTATATGAACTCCGAGAGGGGTCCCTCATTGGCAGTCCAAACTCTCTTGTGGACATGAGTTCTTGGAGCTGGCCCGACATAACGAATATCATCCCAACCGAACACCTCGATGATCTCGTTGAAATCCTCGGCATTTCTCACGTCGTAACCGCGAAGAAGAACAGCGCTGCTCTTGATGATCATCTCTTCAAACCACTCTTTGTTCCTCTTCAGTGCTGACAGAAGTGACTCAAAGTCACCTTTCTTAGACTCCGGAGGTTGCAGGACTAATGGCATGGTTTCACCATCAACCACCTTTTCGCCTTCACATTTTCCCACCTTGAAGTCCGTACAACTGTATTCCATTTTTTTTTTCCCTTCTTTTTCTCTTCTTCTGCTATATATGTTCTTTTGTGTGATTTATGATTTTAATGTTTTCTTCAAATGAGTTTATATATAGGGGCTGCTATGACGGAAATCACAATGAAAGAGGTTTGGTTATCCGGCAGATTTTAGATTCTCACTACCTAGTCTTTTTTGTTTTTTTTTTTTTGGTGCGACTTTTCTTTAGTATCATACTTGGTCTTGTTTTTAATACAAGGATTTTGGCTCAAATGAAACTTAGTAAACACATAAAAACTGCAGACCCCTATGGTAGGGCTTGAAAAAATTAATTACCGAGTAGGTCTGTGTTTTCAAGATCTGTATTAAAAACTATATATTCATGCATACTTTTTAATTTTAATGCAAGTTTGACCAGATCTAATGGTTAAAAAACTATTGGTACGAGATCCTATTATGGAAGGATCAAAATTGATTAACGTTTGTACATAAATTGTATACATAAAACATATATAGAAATTATTTTTACACAAGCTTCTTTGCTTGGATATTAGCTAGGAGAATCCAGAATTTTCTGTTTCTTTGTAGTTTTCACAAGAATCAAGCTTAACGTTTGTGTGAATTGTTCTGCTTCCAAGATACAAAGGAGAATTCTACGTCCATGAAAGGGCATATGTGGATCAATGTATGGCTGTTCAAATGCCGCCCGGGGATTTTGGTCAAACAAGAAAACAGAAACGAAAAAACCCGAGAAGACATCATTACATATACTTCATCGTTCTTTGGTGTCACCAAACTATGTACATTTGTTTTCATGTGAACTATTTTGTCTATGGGCTCTGTCTTCTAGCTTTAATTGCGAAAATTCCGGTTCTGCAATAAACAGCCAATTTTGTTGTATTAATAACTAAATGAGTTACACCAATCTAGTTGAATTGTAGCTACTTTCCAAGCTTATTTTTAGTTTAACTTACACACACACATGTGTGTGTGTGTACACACACACATATTCAAGCTTGTAGATCTAGGCTAGTCCTGTTTTGCAGGTTCTGCACGGCACTAGCCCTCGACAAAGTTATTAAAGTTATCAAAAATTGCTAAATTTACTCATTCTTCTGAAAACAAGTTTCTGTTAAGAAAAAAATGCAAAAGTTATTTCCTTTTTTTTTTTGTTGGCTGCCATTAGGCTATCTTAAGGTGATTCTGCAAGGCAAAGAACACTGAAATTGAATCTATTTAATTAGTTAATCATCACATGTTTGAGCATGATGAATCACTTCGTACCGACCTGTTACCAATAAACTTTCCGACCTCATATGATAATGGAAAACTCCAGCATTTTCTGCATTGGTGGATGAAGAATCGCGTCTTCCCACTCTATTTCCTCATTTCTTTGTTTGACTCTGACTTGGTAAGCTAAATACAATACTAATATTCAAAATTTGAAAGACTTGAAAACATTAGATGTTATTTGGCATCTGAGAAATCATATAAATCATGTATAGTTCCTAAAAAATGACATGGATCATGTCATAGGGAGCAGCGCCAAATTTTACAAAGAAAATCTAGCACGAATTTTGCAGCCAGCATCTAGTCATTACGCCTAATTCAATGAGGAATGTACTCGAGCCGAATCACTTTCACGTAATTTTAATGTTTTGCTGCAATAATACCAGATAATTAGTTTTCGAAAGATTTCATTTTGACAATGAAATGTGCACCTTAATGGGCGGTCGGTGGGAAAATGTCCCACATTGCTAGATTATGACGAAAATCAGTTGTTTATAATGCTAGGAAATAAGCCTTTCCACCGCCGGGCTTAGTAACGAGAGCTTGTAACCCAAGTGGGGGGCTTTAAGGTGGTTGGATATTGGTTCAGCTCATTGTACCGGGTCCGGCGTGGCTATCTTCTGGCCTGCTCGTTCCAAGCCGTGAGTTGGGCCGTGCGACTTAGGCGAAGGCCCAAGTTTCACGGCCCCTAGAGAGGAGGGTACCGCGTGAGGCTGGTTTCACAGAGCAGTGAAAACCTCCCGCTCTTGGCAGTGGAAGGTTAAAGGGCCGGTGTCACCTGAACCCAACATGGCACAGTGAGTTGTTCTTAATGGGACCGTCACTTTTTTGTTTTTGTTTTAATTTTTCTATTTTTCTTTTGAGAAAGTGAAAGCAGTCCGTTCAGTTCGCTGATTCAAATTTTTAATTTGAGTTAAGATGTAATTTTATGTGAGAACTTTTTACTGTAGTAAAAAAATTAAATGTAACTGATTCTAAAAATTTTTTATTGTAACAAAACTCAAATTCTAAATTTGAATCGGTAAAATGAACGGGGCTAAATAATTACCCAACTACACAATCTTTGTTAATTAATTGTTTGATTGACGTACTCGACCAGTACTGCATTAAATAAAGTCTTGGGAAAGTAAATTTAGTTGCTCGACATTAAAGATTTTTTACTAACCTTTTTGTTCGTCGTCTTTTGTCCACTTCTAACCCATTTTAAAATCTCATTTATTTTATTAATTTAAATTTTTAATTATAATTTTATTATAATTTAAAATTTTTATAAAAAATTACATTTAATTTTTTTATTACAGTAAAAAATTTTCATATAAAATCACATATTAATTTAAATTAAAAATTTAAAACTGTAAATTAAATGAAATTAAAATTAATAACTAATTGATTTTTATCTTAAATAATTTATAAAGTTTCGATAACTTTAAAATTAGAAATCCACTGGTTTGAAAATTGAAAGTATAGCACAGTTGTTAGCAAAGATAGAATAACGATTCCCATTACAACAATCAATATTTCAATTATGTTTTCTACACACACATATATATAATAAAAAGGGAATACTTCTATTTACGGCAATTCCAATGTTGTTGCATAAAATGACTTGTAATTTTGTGTCGCTTTTATTTTAGAAGTTAAAACTTATTTTTGGTCTTCAAAATTAATTGTTTCTAAACAAAAAAAAATTCGATTTCTTTCAGATAGACAGAAAATAATTTAATAGATCATATACTCATTTTGAGACTACGTTTTAAAAATCATAAAACAAAACGAAATTCAACTTAGAGATTAAAAATGAGAATAAGCCCCGCTTCATCAATAACATAATATATATATATATATATATATAGCATCAAGGGGCCCACCTCTAATCCATAGCATACACAAAGATATTATACAATAGAAAGCACTCTAATTTTATCCAAATATAAGAAGACGAAATAATGATCCTCTATTTCCTAAAAAAAAAAAAAAAAAAAAAAAAAGTTAAAGCCACAACTTTACTCAAATGCTCTCAAGTACAGTGTTGTAGTGGTCGATTTAAAAGCTTCTCTGTCGGTAGTAGTGCTACTGAAACCCAAAACCCCGCAATGGCTACAATAATATCTACCACTTTTCTTCTACTTCTCTTCTTTGCTAGAATAGCAGCACTTTTTGTTGCAATATTGGTGCTCTTTTGGGCTTTATCCTTTAAGTCCAGTTTTCTCCCTCACACTGCTTCCCAAGAGGACCTCATCTACTCGGTATGTATTTATTTACCATTTTTCCCATATCCTTTGCCCATTTTGTTAGAAAACCAGTAAAGAATGACCTCTTATTTTGAGAGTTAATTGATGGGGTTTCTCTCTTTTCTTGTTTGTTTTGGACAGGCTCTTCATCCTTTGTTGATGGTCATTGGTTTCATTCTTATTAGTGGAGAAGGTAGAGAGAGAGTTATGATTAAACATTGACTAAAATGATTTATTTTTATTTTCCTTTTCCTTTTTTTAAGAAAATAAAAGATGGGTCTTGAGTTTTTATTATTATTTATTTTTTTTTTTATAGCAATTTTGATTCATAGATGGTTGCCTGGTACAAAGAGTTTGAAGAAATCAGTGCATTTATGTCTTCAAGGGGTGGCTTTGGCTTGTGGCATTTTTGGGATTTGGACAAAGTTTCATGGGGAGAATGGGGTTGTGGCTAATTTCTACAGTCTACATTCTTGGATGGGCTTGATCTGCATGTCTTTGTTTGGTTTTCAGGTATAATGTTGTTCTTCACTCCCTCAATTCTTGCTCTTATTTTTCCCCTTTTTCTTTCATTTTCTTGGTTTCCTCTTTAATTCACAAGTCACAAGATCGGTTGTTTCTTGAGAAACTGTATAGTTTCTCTTAGTGGGAAATTGCCAAAGGCAAAAATACATTAGGTTGTTAATTTTTGAGTTGAATTTAAATTATAATTTGAGTTAAAGTTATAATTTAAATAAAATTAAGTAAAATTAAATAAAATTAAAATTTAAGAAAATGTGAATTTAAATAAAATTAAAATTTAATTTATTTTTTTTAAAATTTTTTTGAGTTTTTTAAACTAAAGAACATGCCCATTATTATTTGGATGCAAATGCGGAATGCCACTGTTGAGTGTGGTCCCCAGAGCATCTTCACAAAGTTCCATGTAAAAGAAACACTTGCTAAATTATTGATTTAAAGTTGTTTTTGGTAAACAAATATATTAAAGTTGTAGTTTTAGAGGCAAAATGCTGTCTTTTTCAATAATCAATAATTAATTAAAATGGAATAAAGACAGATGCTATGGTTGCTTACACGTTTTAGAAGCAACGTACGTCAGCAGGATGCAACTATCCATAGTCTATATGGGCCGTCTGCAAGCCCAATAAATGTACTTAGTGGACCTAGAAGGCCCAATATATAAGGTTAAGATTAGAGAGGTTGGCAATTTGACTCTTGGTCGTGTCAATCGTAATTTTTCATGTCGATTTTGAGCTGACTCTTCGTGAAAATGTTACACGGAGTCGTGTTGTCATAAATAATATAAACAATTTGAATGTGATTTCTTAAATTTAGGCCACAAATTTTATTTACTTCATTTTACTTAAACTAAACATGTTAAAAATAATTCTTTTAAACTAAACATGATGGTGCGCTGAACTTAAATTGCCAATTTGCAATGTAAACAAGGGTGCCTATAGTATGCCATGCTACAAACAAATATTGCACGAGTTTTTCTTTTGCGTTTTTCATGTTTCAAATTGAAAATAAGATAAGGATCTGCTCTCTCATTTTCTTGTCTCATTTTTCTGTCTCAATAGTTGTCTTTTAATTCGTAAATTTAGATGACATAACAAATAAATGGTGGAGAGATAGCCATAAAAACTGGAAAATGAGGACAACAAATTTGGACTTATGAAAATAATAGTAGAGATTTTCTTAAGATGTTTTTCATTCATCATTTCACTTTTATGTTATTCTTATAATTTAGTGTGCCAATTGTAACACAAGATTCCTACCAAATTTGGAGTTGAAACAATGGCTAATGCATTTCATGGCCTGAATTAACATGCAGTGGATGATGGGTTTCCTGAGCTTTTGGCACAGAGGAGAGTTGAGAAGAGCAAGGGCAAGAGTGTTACCATGGCACATATTTGTTGGGCTCTACACGTATGGTTTGGCAGTGGCCACAGCAGAAACTGGGCTTTTAGAGAAGCTGACATTTCTACAAACAAATAGGAATTTGTCCAAAAGATGTCCCGAGTCCATGCTTGTCAATGGGTTGGGCCTGGGCCTGGCACTGCTCAGTGGCATTGTTATTTCGGCTGCAATTTCGCCAAAATACCAAACCCTTCAATCCAAACTCGTGTACTCAGATAGTAAATCCCTGTCTTCTTTGTGATTTTTTTTCCCTCTATTGTTCTACATATTCTGCATTTTATGGGGTTTGGTGTGTATATACACTGTCCTAGATTTTGGGAATAAAGAGAAAATGTGGTTATGTAGGTTTTCTTTCTTTTAATGACACGAGAATTCTTTTGTTCCTAAGCTTTTGGGTAAATATACTCTGTTGGACAAACTGTTAGTATTTGTTATGTATTTTTATTAGTTGGTAATTTATTAATAATCTTGTAAAAATTAAAAAAAAAACAGGTTCAAGAAGATTTCATATTGCAGAAGAAGATTCAGAATAAGAGTTTAAGTTAAAGTTGTAGATTTTGTTGAGTTGAGATTTGAAGAGATAAGGATAAAGGCTCGGTCAAAGGAAGATAAGATATTGGTTGAGATTTGGAGAGATAAGGATAAGACCCATGTTAAAGGAAGATAAAGTATTGGTTATTTGAATTCAAATGAGATTCTAGCAAGATAATGTGGAGATTAAGTTGCTATTTTAAAGGAGTAATTCAGATTTAAAAAGTAGATGTATAATCCGAATACGCATTGGTTTGTTTTAATTTGGCCACTACAAGATATACTTCAAAGGCATCAGCTTTAGATATATATATATATATATATATATATATCTCGATTTGAATTTAAAAAGGGGCTGGACAATTCAAAGCCTTCAGAAGTGGTAAAACGTGAAGATAAAGTGATTGATGGACGAATTGTTTGAATTAGATTTTTTTTCACTTTATTTAAAGGTTTTGTTTCTTAGCATATGGAAGTACGGGTTTAATAGAATATTTTCAGAAAGAGTCTGTGAGTTTTTGTGAGCCTAATGCGCTATTGAAATCGTCATTCGGGAGAGGAATTTGTTGCCTTCGGGAGGAAGCTCTCTCAGTCGAAAGGAGTTCATCAGGTGAATAAAAGATGTGTGGTGCACGCTAAACAATCACTGTGGAGATTCGTCACAACGACGTCATTGTCTAGGAGGGAGTCCTTAAGTGAATAAGTCAGTCTGGTGTCTGTAATTTCTGGAACATAGTGAAATTGTTTACTGTCTGGGCGTGACCCCGCAGATGTAGGTGTACGCACCAAACTGCGATATCGTATTGTGCGTTCCTTTACTTTCTGCACTTTATTCTGCTTGAGAAACTGAACGTAATTAACCCGGATCTTAATTAATCAAGCCGTGTTCCAAACAGTGTTCCAACATCATCTGGAACACCAGACGTAACATAAGATCTAAGAAATGGTATCAGAGCGGTTAACTGACCATAAGTTCAGTGAGATCTTGGAGAGTTGATCTACTATGTTTGTAATGGATTTTCTAAAAGAAGGACGTTCAGTTGCACGTCCCTCTCTGCTTGATGGTTCAAATTATTCATACTGGAAGGCTCGGATGAAGGCTTTCATCAAGGCTCAGGATGAAAAAGCATGGCGTGCAGTCCTGACTGGCTGGAAGCATCCTGTAACTAAAGATGCAGAAGGAAAAGAGACTCTCAAGCCTGAAGAGTCATGGAGCACTGATGAAGACAGGTTGTCCAACTACAACTCACGTGCACTTAATGCAATATTCAATGGAGTTGATGTTAATCAGTTCAAGATGATATCGACGTGTGAATCGGCAAAAGAAGCATAGGAGATTCTGGAGGTGGCTCATGAAGGAACAGCCGCGGTCAGACAATCAAAATTGAATATGCTCATAACTAGGTTCAAAACTCTTCGAATGCATGAAACTGAAATTATTTTTGCTCACGGTTGTGTGATATAGCCAATGAATCCTTTGTTCTTGGTGAAAAAATTCCCGAGGCAAAACTTGTCAGTAAGACGTTGAGATCATTACCACAGAGATTTGCCTACAAAGTCATTGCTATCGAAGAGGCGAAAAACATTGAGACTATGAGACTTGATGAATTGATGGGATCACTAAGGGCATTTGAAGTGAATTTGAGTCAAAATAAGAATGAGAAGGAGATTTCTCGGGGGATTGCTTCCCAAGCCGAAGTGGAAGATAATGTTGAAGAAGAAGATGAAGACTTAGTGGAGTCTTTTGTTCGATTGACTAAAAATTTCAACAGGGTGATGAAGAAGTTCAACGAGAGGAACCAAACTCTAACTTTCAACAACTCCAACAATTTTCAGAAAAATAAGGGAGCTAAAAATTCCCCCAATGATAAGAAGAAGAATAGGAGAATTCAATGCCGAAAGTACGACGATTACGGTCTCATTCAGTCTGAGTGTGCTAACACTCTCAAGAAGAGGAAGAAGTCTCTCAACGTCACATGGAGTGATGAGGAAGTCGGCCCTTATCCCATTCCTTCGGAATGGTGGACCGTTAATATAAGTAGTGTCGTCCCTTTATTCCATTCCTTCAGAATGGCGGGACGAGAGAGGATGGTAAGGTCGTCCCTTACTCCATTCCTTCAGAATGGCGGTCCGAGGAAGAAGATAAGGTCGTCCCTTACTTCATTCCTTCGGAATGACGGGATGAAGGGAAACGTTAAGTCGTCCCTTTATTCCATTCCTTCGGAATGGCGGGACGCTAAAGGAGGGGACCCTTCCCCTCCCCCGAACCCCCTCCCCTTCCCCTTGCTTGTTTTTATTCGTTCCGTGCTTCAAATCCGTGAAGCACTTCACTCGCTCGTTTATACATTTTATTTTCCAATTAAGTTTCATGGGGCACATCCCCCCGAATTGAAGGCAACCAGGAAGATGATGATCATGTGAACAACTATATTGCGTTCAATGTCTACGAAGATGTTCCAAACTGCAGTGTTACAGATCGTGTCACAGCTCATGTTGCAACATCATCTGCAACACACTCTGAAAAACCAGAAGAAAACAGAGATTTTTCAGATTCTGACGGTTCCAGCGATGGTGAAGAACTGATTGAGGAGACAATCCAGGAGGCATATGAAACCATGCTCAACAAATGGGTTTTGGTGGTTAAAATGAATAAGTCTTTGCAGGAACGAGTTGATGACCTTATTAAAGAGAAGGATGTACTTAAGAGGGCTGCCGCAAACTATGAATTTCGGGCTGCTAAAGCTGCAGGAGATAAGAGCTGAATTGGAGCACACTCAAAAGTCATTGAAGATGATGAATTCCGGCACTACGAAATTGGATCACATTCTTTCGATAGGAAAAATGAGTGGTGATCGACATGGCCTTAGCTATACTGGTGAGAGCTCAACGTCCAAAATAGTGTTTGTGAAGAAGATGTCTGCCCCTAAGCCTCCGACTTCCTCTAGTAAGAAGGCTACTATCTCATTCCCTCGACATAAAAAGTTTGTCCCCACATGCCATTACAACAGTTTACCTGGCCACATAAGACCAATATGCTACAAGTATTTAAATGCTTTAAAGAAAGGTATGTTTATTAATCCATCAAATTCCGCAACCTCAAAAAAGACACCTAACATGAAGATTGATGTGAAAAATAATTTTTCTAGACGTGTGTGGGTAAGGAAATTTGATTTGAGATGTCATAAGGCTTATACTTATTTAGAAGCATGTACTAATGATTGTGGGTGTAGTGATGGCGGTTGCACTAAGCGATTGACAGGTGTTAAGAGCATTATACATGGAAGAATGCTACATTCAGGGGGAGTAAGCTACAGAGTTCAATGCCCTCAAAGATATCTAGTGCGAAGTGTTGCACCAAGTGTTCCAGCAAATGTTCCAACATAATTTGCGACATCAGCTGCTGAAGACGTGTCTAGGGTGTAATTTTTTTGTGTGTCTTTGGCTTATTTTTGTCAAAAAGGGGGAGAACAATGTAATTTTATATTGTTTTTGTCATTTTTGAATTTTTTGGGATCTCTTGTTAGTTTTGCCAAAATATGCCAAAGGGGGAAATTGTTAGGTATTTTTATTAGTTGGCAATTTATTGGCAATCTTGTAAAAATTAAAAAAAAAAAAAAAACAGGTTCAAGAAGATTTCGTATTGCAGAAGAAGATTCAGAATAAGATTTTAAGTTAAAGTTGCAGATTTTGTTGAGTTGAGATTTGAAGAGATAAGGATAAAGGCTTGGTCAAAGGAAGATAAGATATTGGTTGAGATTTGGAGAGATAAGGATAAGACCCTGGTCAAAGGAAGATAAGACATTGGTTATTTGAATTTAAATGTGATTCTAGTAAGATAATGTGGAGATTAAGTTACTATTTTAAAAGAGTAATTCGGATTTGAAAAGTAGATGTATAATCCGAATATGCATTGGTTTGTTTTAATTTAGCCACTACGAGATATACTTCAAAGGCATCATCTTTGGATATATATATATATATATATATCTAGATTTGAATTTAAAAAGGGGCTGGACAATTCAAAGCCTTCAGAAGTGGTGAAATGTGAAGATAAAATGATTGATGGACGAATTGTTTGAATTAGATTTTTTCACTTTATTTAAAGGTTTTGTTTCTTAGCATATGGAAGTACGGGTTTAATAGCATATTTTCAGAAAAAGTCTGTGAGTTTTTGTAAGCCTAGTGCGCTATTGAGATGGTCATTCGGGAGAAGAATTTGTTGCCTTCGGGAGAAAGCTCTGTCAATTGAAGGGAGTTCATTAGGTGAATAGAAGACGGGTGGTGCACACTAAACAATCACTGTGGAGATTCGTCACAGTGGTGTCATTGTCTAGGAGGGAGTCCTTAAGTGAATAAGTGAGTCCGGTGTCTGTAATTTTTGGAACATAGTGAAATTGTTTACTGTCTGGGTGTGACCCCACAGATGTAGGTGTGTGCACCGAACTGCGATATCATATTGTGTGTTCCTTTACTTTCTGCACTTTATATTGCTTGAGAAACTGAACGTAATTAACTCGGATCTTAATTAATTAAGCCGTGTTCCAGACAATGTTCCAACATCATCTGGAACACCAAACGTAACATGAGATCTAACAGTATTAATTAATTATGTAATTATATTATAAAAAAGAAAGACACTGATATATATATTTTTCCTCTTGCCACATATCTTACCCGAGATAAACTAACTCCTTGATACATAAACTCATGTTATTTTAAAACCTATATCAAAACTTTAAGGGCATGTTTGGTGCATCGTATTGTATTGTATTATATCGTATAATATTGTATTGTATAATTTTAATACAATAAGGTGTTTGAATAGTGACATTTTTAAACTTTATACTATTTTTACCATTGTAATCTATTTACGTATTAGTTTGTAATAAGATAAAATTTAAGCCGAATTATAACCTAATTCGACTCTAATCTTGACTCGAACCCAACATTTGGAGGAAGCAAGAGAGAAAGTAGAGTTGCTACATATGGGTCTTTTTGCAAAAAAAAAAAAATGAAAATAGGGTCAAATTGTAATTTTTCAAAAGTTGAGGGGTTAAAAATATAATTTTTAAAAAATGAGGGGTCAAAACATAATTTTTGAAAAGGTTAGGGGTTGAAATGTAATTATAAAAATATAAACCTAACATAACTCTGGGACTGGTCCCGAAACTCGACCCCAACGTCAGTCCCAAAACTTAACCCCGAGTCTTGATATTTGTGAAATATTTTATATGTTTTTAATATGATATTTTAAGTTAAATTGCATAATACGGTCTAATAAATAGGTTTTTTTTTTTCCGTAATAGATATCACACTTCGTATTGTATTAATTTTGAATCTCATATTAAATTATACAATGTATAAGTGTTACTAAACATATTATTATTATTATTAAACAATACAATACGGAATGTTTATACGGTGTACTAAACAACATGCCCTTAATTTCTCTAAGCCTTCTCAAGTAAAACTTTCAATGAAGGATGTTTGCCCTAGTAGGCTAGCCTCTAGTTATAGTTTCAATATAGATAGATTCACAGACGGACAACCTGCTTAATTTGGTGTTGTAAAAAAGGAGAGGAGAGCTGGCCATGATGGTGTTGATCAGGTATGAGCACAACTAGTTTCTTCATTGACCACCCGTTATTCTAATTACACCGTCGACCATTATGGCTACTTAGGTATATGCCCCTATACACCCTAAGGTTTCTTATCAAATTGCTTAATTAAATGCATCGAAAAATAAAATCTATGTAAACCGTAATGAATTAACCCTTCTTGCACGATGAGAAGCCACCCCGCGATTGCGCCCCTCGAAAAAGCCCACATCCAGTACAAAGGCGGTGTTAATGATGGCAAGGCGATGAGGAGCAAGTAGGATTTGCAAATAAAGAGAGACAAATTTATGTATGTGGAAGATCACTACGTACTAAGATACGATATTCTTAAAGGATAGACAGATATCAACAAACTTACATGAGATATTCTCAGAATTAGGCCTTGTAAATTGGGGAGATAAAAGGTATACAACCTACCTCTGTGTAGGGTACGTAGGAGTTGTAACCGTGAAGCGAGTCGTCTACTCTACAAGTGTCAATAGCTTGAGGCACAAAACCTTCAGCAAAAGGAATCTATGGATTTGTCCAAATAGCGTGCTGTTTCTGGGAGACAAAAACAAGCTTTTTAGAGCAAGCGACATGTCGCGTACGGAGCAAAACACTGCACGCGCACGTCGACAAACCAACGCCATGACGACGATTTCCTAATTGAACAACTTTAAAACTTTTTCCAGTAAACCGCATCTCGTTGTTAAGATAGACAATAAACTTTAGAAGAAACAGCGTGATCTTTTTTGCGATCCAACGGCTACAAGCATAAAACAATAATGGAATCGTCTTGTTTTTGCCTAAAACATAGGATATACACACTTTAGTACAAGAAACTCCACATTGTTTTTCTAATTAAATGAGATCAAAACTTCAGATATATATATATATATAACATGTCGTATTTAAACAGAAAAAAGACTTCTAATTTTCTAAACAAATAGTCCACGTGTGTTTCTTAACAAGCTTTCCGGTGTCCATGAAGCTTTTTAACACCAATAAGACTGCAGATATCCAGATTCATACTAAATAAGAAATGGGATTTGTTATAGACTATTGTTCGCCAACTGATCTCCAGACAAGCTGCAAAATTTATCCACACACTCCTTCAAAAAAGAGGCTTCACTTCATCAGCTCTCCCAAACAATAAGACATCATCAGCGAATAGTGTACAAGATAAGGCTTACCCAAGTTATCGAAAGAATAAATCATAAATTTAAGACACATTATATTATTATCCACGATTCATAAACTAACAAAACATGCTATACTACTCATAGAAGTGCACTTCGACATGTCTTTTGGTAGTCAGGGGTACGTGCAAAATTCAGTTTGATGGTTATAGGGATTATTTATCTTTTTGTGTCATTTGGTTTAGCTTTATTTAGTAAGTATATTCTAGTTTTTTGACCTTATTAAATGCATTCCTTCATATTAGATTTAATTGTGACGTTAAGATGTCCAAAATACTCTCAAATATAAGTAAATAAATTTTTTTTTAAAAGCACTAAAAAATCTCTAAAAAATAATATAAAAAAACTAGAAGCTAAAAACTCTTTTAATTTTATTTTTTTAGTTTTTTTTTTGTTCATTCTCTTAAAGTTTTTACTTTTTCAAATTGAGGGTAGTGTTGGTACTTTGAGGTCAACATCTTATGTTGATCAAGAAAAGTAATGAATTTGTGTATTAAATTTTATTTGAAGGCATATATCTAATAACATAAAAAATAAAGGGTATGCTTTTTAAATAAACCTAAAACACAATATACAAAAAGATAAATATCTCTTTTATTTTTTTTAAATGAAAATGTATACCTTTTCTTAAAAAAAAAAAAACTTATTTTCTTTTTCTTTAGTTACTGTTATTTTAAGAATTTAGGGTAATAACAACCAAATTTAAGCATATAAATTTGAAATATATATATATATTTTTTTGTGAGGCCAATTTCTATTTTCTACAGCCTATATTTTGGATGGGCATGATCTGCATGTCTTTGTTTGGTTTTAACATAATGTTCTTCATCCTCTCAAAACAAGGGGAAAATGAAGCATAAAAAAAAAAACATAAAAGAAAAAAAAAAGTAACATGGCTTTAACAGTTTTATTAGTACTCAACCAATTTTGTCGCGTGACTGCCTCTCATTTGAGGGATAGGATAAGAAAAAAAGAAAAGAAAAGAAAGTAACATGGCTTTCGACAAACAATTTTTCCGAGTTCGATTAGTACTCGACCACTTTTCATTAAATTGAGGATTTAGATTTCGAATTGGAACAAAAATTGAATTAAGATTTTGGTAACTTTGGTTGAATATGGGATTTTCCGTCGCGCATGGACGCATATGAGCTTTTCGTTATCAATTTTAATGAAAAATTAGCAAAATAGATTATAAATATGTTAGGGATACTAACTCAAATTTTAATTTTTGTGTATCAATTGATATGCTATTTGGGATGCTATTTTTTTATTAGTGAGTGTTTAAAATATTGACACGCCAATTAATGATAAGAGATTGCATCGAATAATAAAAAAATGATAATTCATGTGCCACATTAATTAGTACACAAAAGTTGATATTTGAGTTGGTGTCTCTAGCACTACTTATTGTAAGTTAGAAAGTTCAAGAGCTAAATTATTAATCTAACCTAACAACACATAAAAGAGCCAAAGTTTTTTTTATTGGATTGCTATGTGGCAGCCCCTCCATTTAACGTTTTTTTTTTTCCTTTTTTATCTTTATTTTTTTTTTGTGAATTTTTTTACATTTTAATTTTCTTGTGTGTTTTTTAAAACTATATTATTTTTCACTTTACAATTATGAGAGTAATTTTTTCACATGTGTTATTATTTTATTTTTGATTGGTTAAAATAATTTTTTCTAAATGTATCCCTACTTAATTTTTTTCCTCAATTGTTATCTTTACAAATATTTCTTTTTCAAATAAATTAAAAAAACTTTAAATGGTTGTATGAATTAATTTATTATTATTCAATAAACAACAATAAATTCTAACACTACAATTCATACAGAGCACATTGTAACCAATAAGATGCTGAAAAACACAAGTTTGTGGGGGCAACAATGTTAAAAAGGAAAATTTTCATTTTGGTATCATGTGTTATATCGAAATATGAGTTTGGTACACTTTGTTTTTAATAATTTCATACTGGTACCTCAAAATTTTAGAAAATCTTCTTTTAGTACCTTAGGGTAGAGATGTCAAATGGACCGGGCTGTCCATGGACGGCCCGACCCATCTTGCTACAGTGCCGGGTTCGGCACGGCCCGCACCTGTATTATTATGGGCCGTGCTGGCCCGGCACGTTACACAGACTAGGAATGGGCCTCAGCTTCCCAGCCTGCGGCCTAGGCCTGTCTCTAGCCCGTTAAAGCCCGAGCATGACTTGCGATTCGGCCCAAGCACGCGATTCAGCCTAAGCACGTGATTCGGCTTGCCCAAGCACGCCGCAATGTGACCATTTGGCACGCGACGAGCCCAACAATCACATTGCGGAAATCAAGCCAAAAAACCCTATAAATACTCCTAAATCCCACACAACATTCACCACAACAACTCACTCTCAACTCTTCCTCTCACTCTCATTCACCACAACGGCACATCACGTTTGACAATACTACTTTAGGGCAGCTTTTAGGACACGAAAAGACAAAATTATCTTTATTATTAAATATATAAAAAAGCTTTTTAAAAAAATCTTAAACTTGCAAGCAAGGTTTTTGCTTTATGTTTGGAGCAGAATGAAGTTTTGGTACTTAGTTGGAAGTCTAAGGCCCTGTTCTTTTCGCTGATTTGAGTTTAGAATTCGAGTTTTGTTACAGTAAAAAGTTTTCAAAAACAGTTACATTTAACTTTTTGCTACAGTAAAAAACTCTCACATAACATCACATCTCAACTCGAATTAACAGACTGAACGGGCCCTGATTTTTTAAAAAGTTTTTTTATATTTATAAGAGTAATTTTATCTTTTTGTGTCCTAAAAAACTATTTTAAGATATCAAAAGATAATTTTTTAAAAATCAAAATATTAATATAAAATTATAAAAAATAAAAAGTATCAAATTCTATTTCGATATAATAGAGTACAGGTATCAAAATGAAATTTTTTCACGTTAAAAACCCAAACTTTTTACTTTCATCTCATCCAAGAGAAGAAGAAGAAGAAAGAAGACCGAGGAATCCAGTTCAGTTCAACTCTCTGCAACAACAAACAGTCCATGCCCGGTCTCCCCCACCCAAAAGCCCTAATCTGAACCCAACATCCTCTTCTTCTTCTTCAGCTCTCCAAATCATCGAAACATGCGCACTTCTTCTGCTTCCTCTTATTCCTTTCTCTTCCTCCCCACCTTCTACTATCCCCCCTCTCGATTACGACGTCATTCGATTCCATTCTCCGTCTCTTCCAAGTCGTTTCACTCCAATCCCGGACTCTCCCGCTCCGGACTCCGTCTCTTCGCCTCGATCGCGGAGACGAAAGCCATCGAGCTCTCGTGGGTTGACCCAAATTCCGACGACGGTTATGGCGGCTGGGCCGTCTCCGACACTCCGGTTCACCTCAAGAAGCAAGGTTTTCATTCAATTTTCCTTAATTAGTTACATATAGTTCAAGAGTTTCGTTTCTTTTATCTTTATTTTTATTTTTTAATTTTGGTAGGAATTGGATTGCGTATGTTTGTGATTTGGGGTTTTGGGGCTTCATTTGCTGGTGTATTTGCTGCCATTGCGTACTTGTCACTACGAAGGAAAGGTCAGTCTTTATAATTGGTGAATTGAAGGTGAAAATTTGGTTTCATGGTATTGAGGTTTTGTTAAAATACTTAGGATTATGGTTATGAATATTGAACGGGTATTTGTCTTTGTTGAGGACAGTGCATTTTGTTTTTATAGGACTTGACTTTAAAATTACTAGCCCATTGCATGGGATACTGACTGCAAATGATACTAAAGGTAGTGAAAACAGAACTACTGACTATGACAAATCTGATGGAGACTCTCTTGATATGGAGACGGGTTTGCAGTTGGAACCGGATGTTGTTAGTGAAAATGTTGCTTCAAGTATGTCAAAATTTCACATTTCTCAGCTAATGTGGTCATTGCTATGTTGTTTTATGCTACAATGGTTTCTAATTGGTCTTTTAACATAATTCAGCATTTACAGAAAAGGTTGAACGTGTTATAATCCCCGTAGCTGTGGATTCTACTCAACGGAAAGCTTTGTCAGTTTTGAAGAATCTGAAGGTGTGATTATTTGGTGATTGTTCTCTAGTTTCTGCCTGCATTGGAATTTCATACTTTGCTCCAAAATTTGTTTTACAACAAATAGAAAGTGGCAGAATTATTAATTTCCAATATTTACTGCACATCTGAGTTGTCGAGCTTGAAATGGATGAATAATCAGTTGAATGAGACGATAGTGTTTGAAAATGTTTCGTGACTAATGGGTTTTTCCATTATTCTATTTGTTTATTTGTTTATTTATTTATTTTGTTAAATAGAACCACTTTATGTTTCATATATTATAGTGTGAATGGACATAGTGATGAAATAATATAGTAATCTTGTTGAAACTCTGGGTTCAATACTGAGCGTAATCTCTACTGATACTAAGGCATGCAGATCATTGAAGACGATGTCAAGGCTGATGAGTTGTGCACTAGAAGAGAATATGCAAGATGGCTTGTTCGAATGAACTCGTTATTAGAAAGGTAGTAGTTTGTCCATGGAAATAACTTGGAAAATCTTTTGTTTAATATGATTGATGATTTTCTATGGCCTGCTTATTAAATTTGGATTGTAGGAACCCAAGGCATCGAATTATCCCATCAGTATTACTTTCAGGGTCTGTTAAGGCTGCATTCAATGATGTGAGTGTTGAGGACCCGGATTTTGGTTCTATTCAGGGTAAGGATTAGTCCTAATCTTAAGTTCATTTATCATTAAAAAGCAAATAATTGAATCTTTGCTTCCAAATCTGAAGCCCTGGCAGAGGCTGGGGTTGTTTCCAGCAAATTAGCTCATAACTCCGCCAATAATGGGTTTAAAGGGGAAGGAGATGCCCGTTTTTCTCCTGACAGGTAGAATACTTGCTTGATTTTCTTTTTCCTCTTTGCTAATAAATTTAGATTTGTTCTTACTGAACAAAGCATATATGATGCTGCAGATTTATCTCTCGGCAAGATCTAATAGACTGGAGAACTCAACTAGAGTATCAAATTTTGCCAGGATTAATTGAACAGGTACAAAAATTTGAGATGTCATTTTGTTATTGTTTCTGTTTTGTTTTTGTTGTTTTTATTTTGTTTTTAATTTTAATTTTTAATTTTATTTTAGTAGGATCTCTCATCCCCTTTCCTCTATATTTGATTACAATATAAATGAAAGCAAGTTTTTCTTGCCAAAAAAAAAATGTACTGCTATTTTTCTTTTCTTTTTGCACTATGATGAAGCTGATTATTTTTCAGAGTACCATATCTTTAAAATCTGACTTGTATACAGTCCAGATATTTACAATAAAATTAGGTTTCATGGATATGAAAGAGCTGACACCAGATGGATCGCCAGGCCTTTATATGGATATGTTGGCTGGGGATAATAGCATTATCAGAAAAGTTTTTGGTATTTTTCTTGTTTTACTTTTTCATTCACCATATTTTCCCAGTTGTTATAGTGCATCATCACACAACGTGTTGGGTTTCTTTTTCATCCAAAATTGCTTTGGCAACTTCAAGCATGCATGTAAGATCGAACAAATAGCCATTCACAAGTAACAACAGACGATGTAAAAGACTACTTTTAAGGTTATGAGAAAATGCAGGCAGCAGAAAAAGAACAAATAACTGCGTGGTGTCAAAATCAAAACTTAATGAATACTTAAATAATTTGGAAAAGAAAAAATTGATCGAATATTGGAATTCATCATGGATGGAACTACTGTACTAATTCATTCTGAAGGCAGAAATACATGTGTTTGCACAGAAAGACATAAATGCATGCCAGCAAATAATCCTATTTAGTTGAAAACCTTCTTTCTCTTTGCAGGAAAAAGCAAGCGGTTTCAACCAAATAAACCTTCAACAAAAGCGCAAGCAGCCGTAGCACTGACAAGTGGCAGGATGACAGAAGCAATACAAAACGAGTTGTTGAGACTTGAAGCCGAAAGTTCCGCAAGGCAAGCTGAGATGGAAGTAATTTGGTCCGAGTTGCTTGAAAGAGGAGACATAAAGAGGCTTTGGGATGAGAAGATGAATGAAGAGAAAATCCATGGTCTTGAGGTGCAGAAAGTGTATCTTGATGCAGTTAGTGATTTGGAGCAGGAGAGGGTCGTTCAAGAAAAACATTATGCGGAGAATTTAAAGGAGAAAGCAGCTATGGACTGTCAGAGGCAATTGCTTCTCAGTCTCAAGGAAGAGGTCAATGAGATGTCAGAAAAGCTTGCATCTGAGAGGGCTTTGTATGTGGCTGAGCAGTGTGATTTGCGAGATATGCTTAGTGATTTAGAATCCAAGCAGGAAGGAATGCTCGATACAAAATCTATACTCGAGGCTGAGAAAGAAGCTCTCCGGATACTAAGGTAATATTCGGGATCATGTGCTCCTTAAATTTAAGTTTAATCTAACATGATTTGCAAAATAATTTGTGGGGGATGCGATATTGTTCAACAACACTTTTCTTTTTTTCTTTTTTTTTTTTTTTGCTTAGAATTTTTTTGCACGGATATAGTTCATTATTTCTCATTTTTAGAAGCACTTGAATTCAGATCTTGGGTAGAGGATGAAGCAAGAAAAAGCCATGCACGTGCGAAGGTTCTCGAGGAGGTAGGACGAAGGTGGAAATGGGAGAATCAACCTTGAGCTATTGGAGTCTGGAAATATGGAGGAATGTACAATGTTTGTTTGATTTAGATTAGCAGAGATGACTGTAAAGAAGAGTCTTTTGCTTGTTGGCTCTGTTATAAGATTCCTCATAGAAATTTCTGCGAGGCACATGGATGTGATTGGGATAAGAATTTTGTTTGCAGGGTGCAGCATATCCAGCGATCATACAAATTTATTTACTGCAAATAAAAAAAAGGAATATAATTTGATTCCTCTTGTCACAGCCCTGTTCAGTGTTTTCGTCTAATATTGTTATACACATCAAAGGCAGTCCAACGAGGCCTTGCGTAGTAATATTCCTGTGAAAAAAACATTACGGGGGACTTGCATTGTAGTTCGTAATAGGATGGTTGTGGTCCTTATCTACTCTTTTTGGTTTGGTATATCATAGTTGTGATACTACAACTAATTGGAGTAACATGAAAGGAGGCACGAGAGTCGAATCCAAAAGCAATCGTCTCGGTGTAGCCTTTTGTTTTTTGAATTATTTATTTTAGCTCCAAACAACTTTTGGTACTAAAATTCGACACAAAACGAAACATCCTAAACACATTGTTCTATTGTTTTGTTCTTTGTCTAAAAGCAGTTGAGCTTTTTTTCTCCCCACTTTTTTTTTTAGAAAAGTAGAGAACATGTTCAACTCATAAGAGGGTTATAGAGGGAGACATAAGAAGTAATTATCCTTCGAAACTATTACGCATTTAAGTTAGTGATTTTGATTCATATTTAAATTTTTTGTAAGGGAACTATTGGTGAAATTTTTTTTATTCAAATTCTTACCATACGGGTCTTAAGTTGGTCTGACTCGTGCTCATTTGGACAAACATGTAAATTCTAATACTTTCTTGATCTTTTTAGAGACTATCTCTGGTAGGTCGTCCTACTGATATGATCAGTTTTCTGACCATTGAATTTGGTCAAAATCAAATGCGATTAAAAAAGTATGCATAATAGACAATTTCTAATACTTTGATTTTCTTTTTAATAACTATCTTCAGTAGACCGTCCTACCAATATGATTAATTTTTTAACCGTCGCAATCAAAATTAAATGAGATTAAAAAAATATATAAATAAACAATTTTTATTATAAATATAACGGTAAAAAATGATTAAAAAATAAAATTATCAATAATTTTATTTTTTTTTAATCTTACGGGTGGATACTCCCTTCTTTTTAATAACAATAAGAAAAAGAATTAAAGGGCCGGGCATTGTCCTCTGCTTTAACACGTGCTTCCCGCTCGGCCATTGTCCATCTTCTTCAAAAAAAAAGGGCAGTTTAATTAAAAGCTTTACCAACAACTTTCACAAACCAAATGTTAAACCAGCTTTGTTCATGTTCATGTTTAACCCTCATTTACTTCGATTCTTCCAAGGCTCCAAAACACCCAAACTGGTGAGTTGTTTCTCTTTCCGTTTCTGTAACTTCGTTAAAGTATAATGTTTTTCTTTGTCAGTTTCTTTTTTCCTGTAACTTGGTTAGCTTAGTTAAGCATGTTAGCTAATTGTCATTACACCACTAATTTTTATCATTTTGTGAAAACCCATGTTCTAGTGTATATCACAATGTGTTTTAGAGTTTGTTTTGTCGTGAGGATGTTTAGTGGCAGGGATTTGTTAGAGCCCCAGAGCCACTGGGCTTTCGGATAACTTTTTGGCTACTAATGTTTCAGTGGACTCCACAATTTTTATGACACAGGAAGCGATTTTTCTTTTCCTTTTTTTTCCCCTTTTTGTATGTTGTGTTATTTTCATTTTTTTTTTAAGTCTATGATAATATCCAAATCGGACAAGTTTGCACCAAAAGAAATTCCTCGGCCAGAAAAGGGCATATTTTAGGGACTGTTGTTGACCTGCCAACATCTATGATTCGTTTGTCATGGTTCATTCAGTCATTCCATGTTTTCCCAATTCACTTTCGTCATAATTGGGCATTCACTTTCATCATAATTGGACTTTAGGAATTATCTTCTGAGTCGTTTTTCTAACATGGGGATGGTCCAAATTTAATGCTTTCTTCTTGGGTAGATGTTATATTAAGAGACCCCAAAAGTCTACCATTTATAATGTCTCCTTTAAAGAGTTTGGTTTAGTTTATTGAGCTTAATGAACACAACACAAAAGGAACAAGTTAAAGAGAAATTTAATATCGTTTGATTGGTGGTAAGGCTACTCATTCTATCCGATAAAGATTATGGATTTGAGTTAGTTACATCATGGTTCATAAAATACACGGACAATCCCCTTCGTGAGGAATCCGTATGTCATGTGGGGATGCATTGCCTTCTCAAAATTATCTATGGGAGTACGTCATCCTTTATTCCAAAAACCAAAAATGTTTTAAAGAAATGCCAAAAAAAGGTAGTGGGTTAGAGGGGTCAAGCACCATAAAAGTTTGGTTTTATGCAAATTTGCTACGTGTTCAAGTGCTAGAGTCCAATAAGCTACTGGCTGAGAAATAAACTTCAGAAACAAACTTTACTCACCTATCTAACCAATCTTTCAGGCTTCCACTTTTCCACATTCATTTTTTGACAACTCAAATAGAGCAAAGTCTATAATGTACATGTACCTTGACGTGGACCCACTTTGTAGCCACCCAAATGAAGCATATCTAAAATAAACCTGAACCCTTTGATCAATGCTTCTTTTTTGTGGTTGGTGTGCAAATAGTAGTGATTGGCCAAGTTTTTGTCTTGAGTTCGGATTAGCCTAAGCTTTGATTTACTCCAAGTGCGGATGTTAATTTGATAAAAAGCCCAAGATTAGCTGAAGAGCAGCCACACACAAATTGTTTTTGAGTGGTAAAATAGGAGATAAGACTTTCCTTGAAAGCAAAAAAAGCAAAAAAAAAAAAAAAAAAAAAAAGGAGATAAGACAATTTTCTTATCCTCACTTTAAGCCCCCCTTATGGCTAAAAAAAAATTACTTTAAAAAAAAAAAAAAAAAAAAAAAAAAAAAAAAAAAAAGGAGATAAGACAATTTTCTTATCCTCACTTTAAGCCCACCTTATGGCTAATAAAAAATTACTTTAAACAAGAAAAGAGAACACTTGGGCAGCTTCTTTTTCTTGTTGAAATTTACAGTTTCCAACGTCTTTTTCAGTTTTGTTCTTGGCTTATTTTGACAGCATATATATTCTCCGAAACTGGATTGATAACATGCTTAGACTCATCAAATGTCGAATTGTCAATCCTTTCGGAGAAAGATTGGCCACTAGTTATTGGTGGTTGCTGTATCTCGTAGCTCTAGACTTGTCTTGGAATTCTTCTTACAAGGGACTCTACATAGGAGCAGGTTTTCTTTGTGAAAAGTGATAAGACGATAAAGCTGATGGTCTGGGAATGTTTTATGGTCGGAAATGGCTATTTCATAGGCAAATAAATGCAAGTCCTCTAACATGATATAGATATGTCTTTAGTTGGATATGGCTTGGCCACTGTGATTATCTTGTTAAGCACCCCAGATAATTATAGATTCTGAACTAAACTGTGATTTGATTTGCAGGTTTCTGATGGCTTGAGTTTTCAGTTATGGAGGTGGAAAGAAATAGGTTCTTGGTTGTTATTGAATCGGGTTCGACACATAGATGAAAGAAAAGTTAATCTTTTTCTGCCTAGAATACCTTCATGATAGTCAGGGTAGGCCTTTTTGTTGCTGCTTCAGTTGCAGCCTTTGCAGTGAAGCAGTTGAATGAAAAAAACTCGGGGTTCTCAAAATCGAAAAGAAGGCGTTTAGGTATGCTTCCCTATGAATTTCAATATGACTTTTCTTTCTCTCTGTTCAATGATCCAAATGAGGCCATACAAATAGGATTGTCACTCCTTTTCATCTGATGTTGCCACCATGAAATCCATGATAATTGCCTAGTCTTAGATCAGAGATTAGACTTACTTTATTTTGTCTTTTCTTGTAAATTTCATTCTCTTTATGCTTATGTTGTTCTTATGGTAATACAGGACATGGCAAAGCAAACTCCGAACAACATCGAAGCCAGGAAGAAGACAAAGAGCAGGTTGCATATACTCATGATTACCACAACGAAAAGGATGTAAGTACAAGTGTTTTTATGCTTTTGACGCTTAAAATATTTGAAGCTATTCTTTATGTATTAGAATTAAGATTGAGTCATGTGTACTTCAGGAGGAAGAGGAGGAAGAAGAAGAGGTTAAGTTGATTAGCAGCATATTTAACCGAGCTAGTGATAGTCCCCCCAGCAACATTGATGATGAAGATATTTTACCAGAATTTGAAAATCTTTTATCTGGGGAGATTGAATTTCCGTTGCCCAGCAGCAAATCTGACAAGTCACAGAAAGACAAAGTGTATGAAACTGAGATGGCAAACAATGCAAGTGAGCTGGAACGGTTGCGCAAACTGGTAAAGGAATTGGAGGAAAGGGAAGTGAAGCTTGAAGGGGAATTGCTTGAGTACTATGGATTGAAGGAGCAAGAATCAGACATTGATGAGTTACAACGTCAGCTTAAGATCAAGTCGGTCGAGGTTAACATGCTCAACATTACTATTAACTCTCTGCAAGCTGAGAGGAAGAAGCTTCAAGATGAGATTGCCCAAGGAGCTTCAGCAAGAAAAGAACTGGAGGCGGCGAGGAACAAGATTAAAGAGCTTCAAAGGCAGATTCAGCTTGATGCTAACCAGACAAAAGGCCAGCTTTTGTTGCTGAAGCAACAAGTTTCTGGTCTACAGGCTAAGGAGGAAGAAGCTGTTAAGAAAGATGCTGAACTTGAGAAGAAGCTAAAAGCTGTGAAGGAGTTAGAGGTGGAAGTTGTGGAGCTCAAGAGAAAAAACAAAGAACTCCAGCATGAAAAGAGAGAATTGATCGTTAAGCTGGATGCTGCCCAAGCCAGAGTAACAGCACTCTCCAGTATGACTGAGGTTATAGCTCATCCATTTCTTTTTTTCTTCTATTTTTTAACACTTTTCTTTTGCAACAGGTTCAAGCACTTTTTCTTTTTTCCGGATAAGTTTCAGATTTTAGATCATATAATCAGGTGGTCTGTGGAAAGGAAGTAGGCTGTATACTATTATGAAATTGTTTAGAATTCTGTTTTGCCTTCTTTGATGATTCGAATTGCAGAAATTGATCTTCATAGATGCAATAACGGCCTAGAATTTGATTTTTATTTTTATTTTTGGGATAGGGCATAGGCTGTTTCCTCAATGTTTTGAGTAAAATGTTTGATAAACCGCTCATACGTGTGCTGTTAACTTCCTCTTTACAATGTTTTGTTGCAGAGTGAAAAGGTGGCAAATGCAAGAGAGGAGGTAAATAATCTAAGGCATGCAAACGAAGACTTATTAAAGCAAGTGGAAGGTCTTCAGATGAACAGATTTAGTGAAGTTGAAGAACTAGTGTACCTCCGTTGGGTCAATGCATGCTTGAGGTATGAACTCCGCAATTACCAGGCTCCTCCAGGAAAGATGTCAGCTCGTGATCTTAACAAGAGTCTGAGCCCAAGATCTCAAGAGAAGGCTAAGCAGCTTATGTTAGAGTATGCAGGATCAGAACGCGGCCAGGGGGATACAGATATCGAGAGTAATTTCTCTCACCCGTCCTCTCCAGGAAGTGAGGACTTTGATAATGCTTCTATTGATAGCTTTACCAGCAGAGTCAGTAGTCTCGGTAAGAAAACTAGCTTAATTCAAAAGCTGAAGAAATGGGGCAGAAGCAAAGATGATTCAAGTGCCCTTTTATCACCATCCAGATCGTTGTCCGGAGGCTCTCCTAGCAGAATGAGTATGAGTGTTCGGCCCAAGGGTCCACTGGAAGTCTTGATGCTTCGGAATGTAGGTGATAGCGTAGCCATCACAACATATGGCACGATGGAGCAGGACCTTCCTGCCTCTCCTGAAACTCCAACTCTTCCAAACATGAAAAGACAAGCTTCCAGCGACTCGCTTAATTCTGTTGCATCATCATTCCAACTAATGTCCAAGTCAGTTGAGGGGGTTCTAGATGAGAAATATCCGGCTTATAAAGACCGGCATAAGTTAGCATTAGAGAGAGAGAAGCAAATTAAGGAGAAAGCAGATAGAGCAAGAGCAAAAAAATTTAGTGACAGTTCGAATTTGAGTTCAACCAAGGGAGAAAGAGCAAATGCAGTGGTATTACCTCCAAAGCTCTCTCAAATAAAGGAGAAACCAGTTGTCTCTGCTGATACAAATGACCAATCTAATGATGGTAAGTCTGTTGATTCTCAATCAATAAGCAAGATGAAACTGGCTGAGATTGAGAAGAGGCCTCCGAGGACACCTCGGCCGCCTCCTAGACCATCTGGAGGTGCTCCTGGAGGTAAAAATCCAAACCCTTCAAGTGGAGTACCACCTCCTCCACCTGGTCCCCCTCCACCACCACCACCTCCTGGTGGACCACCTCGTCCACCACCTCCTCCAGGAAGTCTACCAAGGGGAGCAGGCAGTGGTGACAAGGTCCACAGGGCACCTGAGCTTGTTGAATTTTACCAGACATTGATGAAACGCGAGGCAAAGAAGGATACATCGTCTTTGCTATCTTCAGTGTCTAACAATGCATCCGAAGCAAGGAGCAACATGATTGGGGAAATCGCGAACAAATCATCATTCCTCTTAGCGGTATGTGGACAACTTTCCTCCTTACTCAATTATCTTGTTTTCCAAGGAATGAAGCAAAGTGTTTAATACTTGTATGGACTGGTTCCAGGTGAAAGCCGATGTGGAAACCCAGGGTGATTTTGTCATGTCATTGGCAACTGAAGTCAGAGCAGCTTCCTTCACCAACATCGAAGACCTCGTGGCATTTGTAAACTGGCTAGATGAGGAACTTTCTTTCTTGGTATGTACCCCTTTTGAATTTTCAGTTGTTTAATCTAATATCACTCAATGAAAGTTGTTCATCATAATTTAGGTAACCAAAAATATCATAGCCAAGCACATAATTCTGAATCCATAACCACATTGGTTTTCAGAAGAACTTCTTCCTATATAAAAAATATATGCATGTGAGAACATAGATACCAACTAAACCATCTGAAAAGTCCAATCAAGGTTTCTTTTGCCTGTTTATACCTGTTATCTAATATCTATTTCTTTTGCTTGCTTCCTAAGGTTGATGAACGGGCAGTTCTGAAACACTTCGATTGGCCTGAGGGAAAGGCAGATGCATTAAGAGAAGCAGCTTTTGAATACCAAGATCTTGTGAAGTTGGAGAAGCGGGTCACCTCTTTTGTTGACGATCCCAAACTTTCATGTGAAGCTGCTCTGAAGAAGATGTACTCATTGCTTGAAAAGTATGTTTCTTTTTATTTTTTTCCTTCTTTTCCAATGCATGATATTGATGCTTGTAGAGCTCTAGATATGCTTAGAAAATGGGATTTTAAACGTTATGAAGCATCTTCAGTTTCACATGGCTTATAATATGTTTTTGTTATGTCTCCAGAGTAGAGCAGAGTGTATATGCACTCTTACGAACAAGGGACATGGCTATCTCACGATACAGAGAGTTTGGAATTCCTGTTGATTGGTTGTTAGATTCTGGGGTTGTTGGCAAGGTTGGTGTTTGCTTCATCTATTATTTAGATTTTTCTGGATATCATATTGTTGAACAATTAAACAAAAAGCCGTCTGAGAATTGTTACCGACACGGATTTTAACCGTCAGATCTTGATTCGGTTTCATAAACTGTCTTACTTTAGTTGATTTAATGTAATTCTTATTTGATCTGATGGTTTAAAGTTGGACCTGAATGAGACGTGACGGTTAAAAATTATTGTCCAAGCATATTTTCTTTCCATACCACATAATTCTCTAAAACTTTATCAGATCTACACATTTTTTTCTTAAGAGCCGAGGCATAAAATTAACATGTTTTTCATTGCAGATCAAGCTCTCTTCAGTCCAATTGGCAAGGAAGTACATGAAACGTGTAGCCTCAGAGCTTGACACGTTGAGTGGACCAGAAAAGGAACCATCCAGAGAATTCTTAGTGCTTCAAGGCGTCCGTTTTGCTTTCCGTGTACATCAGGTACAATCTGTTCTTGCCCATCTTTACGTCTTAACATAAAGTTTGACATTTTAATAGATAACAGGATTAAAACACTAGAGGCCTAAACTTTACATTTGCTCAGATTGGCCCTCGAATTTTAAAAGCATCTCAATCAAGTGTTAATCGTGTCTTAATTGAAAAAAGAAAAAGAAACAAAAGAGATTAGTGTCTTAACCATGTACCTAGCTGGTCAAAGAAATTTGTCTTAATAAGAGGGTAAGACTGTTATTTTATCCATTTTTTGGTGGACGGAATCGGTTTTATTTATTTATTTTATTATTATTATTATTATTATTATTATTATTATTATAACAGATTTAGGGGTATTATGTGAATTTTTAAAATTTTAGAAGTCCAGTGGGTGTCATTTAATTAAGTTTGATCAAGGAGGTATCATTGTAATATTGGTATAAGTCAAGGATGCCATTGCAATTTTTCCTATAGAAAAAAAAATAAAAAAAAATAAAATAAATGTCTATTAAAGAAACTGAAGTATGCCTATGGACCTAAACTGATTCGATTTCATAAGTGGAAGAGTTTAACTGGGAAGTTTGAAAGTGAGGGCCGATCTGGGACATGGGGCAAAGTCTAGGCGCTTCTAGTATTTATGTATGAGATTTTGACATTATTCTGTATATGGATTTTACAAAATCTAAATCCTAAAGTTAAAAGTTGAGAAGCTGTCTTTGGACTTGTTTCCAGTTTGCGGGTGGCTTCGATGCAGAAAGCATGAAGGCGTTTGAAGAACTAAGAAGCCGTATCCGAACGCAATCAGCTGATGATAACAAGCTTGAACAACAAGAATCTTTTGTCTAGTTTTCTTTCATTTTTCACTTTTCCTGTTCAATTCAATGAGTAAATCCATGTTTCAAGACACATTGTATGTGTTTGATATTGTACAATGAACAAAACAGACCAAAGAGAAAATTTACACAGTAATCTGTTCAGAATTTTTGTTCTTTTCTATGAACCTCCAGTCTCCAGTTTGAATTTGCCTTACCTTGTCCACTTTAAATCATAACAAGCCGGGCTGGTATCTCTTCAGAGCATTCAATATTGAATTTTAAATAGATGCCGAAATCTTTATGAAACGATCATATTGGGAATTTAAGATCAAAATTCAAGTGAACTATCGCATGGTGATTACAAGACTTCTGTCTATGAACTTGGCACCCGCAACCTTCCCTTGAATTTTTGAAGGCAATCGAATCACACGCCGTTGATCTCCTGCTTCCACCAGCAATTCAGATCCTCCACTGTACTGCATTGCCAAATAATTAAACAATCGAAGCTAGATTTTATCTTGCATAATATGCAGCACTTAGAAGATAGGATGAAATTGTGTCTAGAATAATATTATTGAATGAATACAATGCCCTCTTTATAGGTAAGAGGAAGTACACAGGATTACACAAAAAAGGAAAGGAATAAAATAAAATATTGATAGTTTCCTATTCTCTATTCTACTGTATTGACTTTCCATATTTACATTAGATACACATCCTAATATTCTTCTGGATCATGGCTAAATCGGGGAAAAATCCCTAATTGACTCTCTCTGCCGACACTCCCCCTCAAGCTCTCAAGTTGGTTTGAAGATATCTACCATAGCCAGCTTGTCAACTAATTTATCAAGTTGCTTTCTATGTAGCCCCTAGTTAACATATCAGCGACTTGTTCTGTCGTTAGAAGGTATGGCATGCATACTACTCCTGTGTCAAGCTTCTCCTTGACAAAATGCTTATTCACTTCTACATGTTTTGTTCGATCATGTAGAATTGGATTATGAGCTATAGATATAGCAGGCTTGTTATCACAGTAGACTTTTATAGGTAACAAATGAGAAATCTTCAATTCCTCAAGTATTCTCTTGATCCATATTCCCTCACAAATTCCAAGGGCAACAGCTCTGAATTCTGCCTCTGCACTACTCCTAGCCACCACATTCTATTTTTTGCTTCGCCAAGTAACTAGATTTCCTCCAAAAACGGAACAGTAGCCCGAAGTAGATCTTCTATCTGTAACACTTTTGGCCCAGTTTGCATCAGTATAGACTTCAATCTGCAGATGGCCGTGTTTCTTGAATAGTAGGCATTTCCTTGGAGTTCCTTTTAAATATCTCAGAATCCTGTAGACCGCTTCAAAGTGCTCTGGTCCTAGTGAATGCATAAACTGACTTACCATGCTCACTGTAAAAGCAATATCAGGACGTGTATGTGATAAGTAGATCATTCTACCTACAAGTCTCTGATACCGTTCCTTGTCCTTCACCTCTTCAGTTTTGGCAGCTTGTAACTTCACATTAGGCTCAATGGGAGTCTCGGCCACCCTACAACCGAGGAAACCTGTGTCTTTGAGTAGATCAAGCACATACTTCCTCTGATTGACAAAGATACCTTCTTTGGATCTAGCAAACTCCATACCAAGAAAGTATCTTAACCTTCCCAGGTCCTTGACTTGACAATCCTCTGCAAGTCTTTTTTTCAGAATGCCTAACTCTGTTTCATCATTACCAGTTAGGTTGATATCATCAACATAAACAATCAAAATTGCAACTTTGCCCATTTTTGAGTGTTTATAAAATATAGTGTGATCTGCCTAACTTTGAAGGAAGCCATAACTAGTAACAGCTTTCCCAAAGCGTTCAAACCACGCTCTTGGTGATTGTTTAAGTCCATACAAGGACTTCTTCAATCTGCATACTTTGTCACTTCCAAGCTTCCTTTCGAATCCTGGCGGTAAACTCATGAACACTTCCTCTTCAAGATCACCATTGAGGAAAGCATTCTTGATGTCAAGTTGATGTAGAGGCCAATCAAAGTTCACTGTAAGGGACAACAAAACTCTAATAGAGTTTATTTTAGCAACAGGAGCAAAAGTTTCCTAATAATCTATCCCATAAGTCTGAGTGAAGCCTTTAGATCTCTAGGCAAATCAACTATTTTCCAAGTACCATTTCTCCTTAGAGCATTCATCTCCTCCATGACTGCTAACTTCCAATCTGGATCATCCAATGCTTCCTGTATATTCCTTGGAACAAACAAATGTGAAATTCTAGATATGAAGGCTTTATGGTTTTTTGACAGTTTTTGGTAAGAGAGGTATTTGGCAATAGGGTGTTCAGTGCATTCTGACACCCTTTCTAATAGCTATGGGAACATCAAAATCATGAATAACCGGTAAGTTATCTGGAATATTTGAAGGAACAATGGGTGAACTATCAGATGAAGGAATTAGACTAGAAGTTGGAAGAGTAGTACCTGAACTTGGGTTTTCGGATTGAGTCTGTGCCGGATTGATAGTCACATCTTCATTCCTTTGATGAAATCTCTTCCTAGTATAAACCTGAAGCTCAGAATTCCGATCATGTTGATCGTTTTGTAGTAATTCTCCCCCTGCTTGAGAATCATCTTCACTAGGCACCAAAGAACTTGGTTCTCCTAAGTGATCATTATCAGTAACATGTTGATCCTGTGTAGAATGAATTATTCTAGGAAGAGGGTCAGAGATATCCCAAAAATTGTCTTGAACTTGGTTCTCCTAAGTGATCATTATCAGTAACATGTTGATCCTGTGTAGAATGAATTATTCTAGGAAGAGGTTCAGAGATATCCCTAAAATTGTCTTCCATTTCATGTGTCTCCCCCTGAAGAGAATTTTGGGGGAAGTAGGGTTGTTATTCAAGAAAAGAAACATCCATACTCACATGGAATTTTTTTGTTCGATGGTCATAACACTTGTAACCCTTTTTCTTTGAAGAATAGCCTAAGAAAACACACTTTACAGCCCGTGGATCAAGTTTTGAACGGAATTGAATATGGACATAGACAGTACACCTAAAAACTTTAATGGGTAAATCTGAGTACAACCTAGTTTGTGGAAAGGATGTTTTCAAGCACTCAAGGGGTGTTTTGTATTTTAACACTTTAGTGGGGCATCCTATTTATCAAATATGAGGCTGTCAAAACTGCCTCACCCCACAAATATTTCAGGACATGCATAGAAAACATTATGGCTCGTGCTACTTCAAGTAAATGTTTGTTTTTTCGTTCAGCAATGCCATTTTGTTGTGGAGTATCCCGACAAGTGGATTGGTGGTGTGTGGGAAATAGGTACTAGAGATAGGATAAACACTTTAGGAATTGGATAAAACACTTAGGGAATGTTTGGTTCATGAATTCAGAACCATAATTCAGAACCATTCTCGTTTTACGTGTGTTTTTTGTGAGAGAAAAACACTGTAAAGAATTATGAATCATGATTCAGAATCAGGGACGAATACAAGAAACTAACATCCCTTTAATCCCTAGATTTTAGGGATTCGGATGACAACAAAGTAGGATATTAGGATATCTCTTCTAGGAAGTCTCTATCTCCTCTTATCTCTTATCTATTATCCGCGTATATATAGCCCTTTAGAGGCTCTTGCAAATGCAATTTAATAAAATATAATCATTTATTCTTTTCCACATGGTATCAGAGTCATAGGGCTTGTTTTTCCCTGGGATTAGAAACCTTTTTCCTTCTTCGGCAATCATAGCCGAATTCAACCTGACTTGCCTTCATTGCAGTTTTTTTTTTTTTTTAAAATCGTTTATCTATCATTTTCTTTTTCTTTTGTGTTCCTTCGCTAGGGTTTTCTCTCTTTCTTTGTGACTTCATATCCAGATTAAAAGATGTCAGAAATAACCTCTTCAACTCCAGTGGTTCAATTAGCCGAACAGCGTGAGGAAGAACAAAGTCAACGCTCAACGGGAGAATTACAGAATATCCAAACTGCTTATAGACTTAACGGCAGAAACTCCCTAAAGTGGTCCCAATTAGTTCGGACTCTTCTGAAAGGCAAAGGAAAATTGAGTCATCTATTAGGAACTGGACCGAAAGAGGGTGAAACTGGTTTTGAAGCATGGGACGAAGAGGATTCCATGATCATGTCTTGGTTGTGGAATTCTATGACACCTGAAATCAGCGACACATGCATGTTTCTAGCAACCGCAAAGGCAATCTGGGATGCACTGAATCAAACCTATTCTAAAGTCCATGATGCAGCACTAATATGCAAAATTAAGACCAAGACAGCATCCACAAAACACGAAAGTAAATTGTGACCGAGTATGCTAACTTTTTGCAAAATCAGTGGCAAAAGTTGGATTATTATCGAGTAATTGACTTAAAGTGCAGTAGCTGTGCAGGGGCAATAAAAACCTTCATAGAAAGAGATCGAGTTTATGATTTTCTTGCAGGTCTAAACCCTGAATTTAACCAGATGAGGATTCAAATCCTAGGTAAGATGGAAGTACCGTCTCTTAATGAGACAATATCATTAATACAAGCTGAAGAGAGTCGAAGAGGAGTGATGCTTGAACCAGAAATGGCTGATGAATCTGCACTCGCAACTTCTAGTAACAAGCAATAGGGTCTTACTTTGGAGCAACCACCAAAAGCCGAGCATGGAAAGGCAGAGGTGTCAAAGGGAGCAAATCGAGATGACATGTGGTGTACCTACTGTAAAAAGCCGAGACACACAAGAGAACGCTGCTGGAAATTACATGGCAAGCCGTCGACAACTAGCTGTGAGTAGGGAAATAAAGGAGGACAACAACGACGACAACAAGGTCAGACTTATAAGGCCTCACAAGTAACTTAGAATCATGATTCAGCACAAGAACATGGTGGGTTTAACAGTGAGGAAATAGAAAAATTGAGAAACCTGCTAGGAGCACTTGAGAAACCGTCCTCCAACAACTGTTCGTTAGCTCTCTCAGGTAAGTCTCCATTTTCTTATGGACTGAATGTTTCTAATAAAGTATTTATGAATACATGAATTTTAGACTCGGGAGCCACAGAACATATGACACATACCCCAAATCAGTTTAATACTTACACCCCATGCCCAAGTAATAAAAAGATTATTGTTGCTAATGGAACCATAACCACAGTAGCCGGAATAGGAGATATTGATATCACACCTAGTCTTATCCTTAAAAACATTCTACATGTCCCTAAACTTTGCACCAATCTTGTGTCTATTCAAAGCTTACAAAAGACTGACACTGCCATGTTATGTTCTATCCCTCTTATTGTGAATTTCAGGATCAAGATTCGGGGAAGAAGATTGGATGTGCTGAAGAAAAGGATGGACTTTATTACCTTGAGATATCAAACCTTCCAAGTATGATCAAGAAAAATTCACCCGGGTTTCTTTCTTCCACAAAAAAGGATGTCATCTGGTTGCACCACTTCCGCCTTGGTCACCCTTCC